GGAGATCCTCCAAGGAAGTTTTTGGGGTTGTGCAGGGAGCTGCAGGATGGAGAAGGAAAAGGAAAACTCACACTACATGACTGGAAGTCCACTGGTATAATGTTGGATTTAGCCCATGGTGTCCTGTGACAAGTCTTCAAAACAAACAGTCTCCTTTAATTAACACCATTGTCCCATATGCTCCAAGACTTCTTTCACTAGCCAACACATATCTACTTCTACCATTCTCATGTGAAATGGAACCATCCATTGCCAATATCTAATAAGTCACTTCACCATTTTATTTGTGGTTACTGAATATTTCAAAAAATGTTCTGGCTAATTAATTTGCCGCAACAGTTTAAGCTGCTGGTCAAATCCAGCCGAAAGAAGGAGGAATGGAAGATCCTAATTTGCAAGCCACTGGAACTTGCTGTCATGGGAATCTTAGAAACATAGAAACACACAAACAGAGTCAGAAGGAACCTCCTGGGCCATCTAGTCTGACCCCTGGCTCCAGCCAGCTCTGCTCATGTAATCCCCAACATTCAGTTGTCCAATCTTGGTGGTTGATGGGGCCTCAACCACCTCCCTTGGAAGTCCATTCCATATCTTAGGGGCCCTAACCATCAGGAAGTCTTCCTGACATCCAACTTGAAGCCTGGCTCCTTGAGCTTTGCTCCATCAGAATGCATCCTGCCCTCCACTGCAGAGAACAGGTCATGGCCCTTCTCTACATGACATCCCCTCATATATTTATAAGTCACTAAAATATCCCCTTGGAGTCTCCTTTTCTCCAGGCTGAAAATACCCAGTTCTCTCAATCAATCTTCATAGGTCATCCCTCTCAACCCACCTTCCATGCTTGTGACCCTGCACTGAGCTAATTCTAATCTAAGGTTCAAAGGTTCTAACCTTTGAAAGAAGTAATTGTATCTTTAGGGTAAGTCAGCCTTCCCCAAGACAGTGCCCTTAGGTTGGCCAACCATGGCTGAGGTTGATGGGGAGTCATAGCTCAACACTTCTGCAGAGCATTATGTTGGGAAAGGCTGGTGTAGGTCATGCATGATTACCAAGAAGATAGAGGAGGAAAAAAAATCTTGTGCACTAGTGAAGGTGCTCCATAGTGTTCCATAGTTCTTTATTAGATGTATAACTTTTCTTAATTAGATGAACAGGTTGCCTAGTCATGACGACTTAAAATAGATAAATGTCTTCATTTTCATCCCTCTTCATAACAGCTCTGCACTGTGTGCCACTGTCCCTTCAGATGCACAGATAAGGCATTGAAGAAGGTTGTTTCTCTAAGAAAACTCTCAGTGGCTCCAAGGTCTCTATCTGGATGTCTTTGAAAGGGATCAGATCATTAGATTGACTCGTAGAGAAATCTACCAACAGCTGTTCGTCCTGTAGGCTGTATAGAACCTCCAGGTTCAATGGCAGTACTTTAGTCAAGCTGTCAGTGGACTGCAGCAGTGATGGCCACTGTCTATATTCTGTTGGTATCTGGCTAATTAAGGGGTAGCAAACAGGCAGCCACTGTTGTGCTGCTGAATTCAGCAGAATCAGCTTAAAAATAGCCTCAGATCACTTTAGGGCTACAAAGTGCTGAACAGGGCCAATTTTATTTTATAAACAAACCTGTAGTGTTATTGGAGTTTTTAGAAAAGTAGGGAGACTGGGCGTAACATATTTGCCACAAACTGCAGCGCTCATGTCCCCTGACCATGCCCACCAATCCCCTTGAAATTGCCCTGGACTGATTAATGTGCGGCAAAGAAAACATTGACCTATATGGACCTTTAGTCTGGTCTCACAGGTCCAGGTCACTTAAGTGAACATCAAGTGGAGGAAAGTGGACTGGGCTACTCTTTTCACATTTCATCCAACACCAGCCAGAGGCAATGCTAGGTACAGAAATGATGCAAGGCTCAGACCTACAGCTCCCCACAAAAAATTACATGTATGCAAATGTTACATTACAAAAGCCCTAAAGCATGCACCCTCAAACTATGGCCCGCCATGCCCATTTATCCGGCCTGCCATAGAGGTTTTGGACTCACCGCGCAAAAGGTGCCGGCTTGCTCGCAAGGAGATCCTTTTGGACTCACTCAGAGAAAACGATCTCTGTGCACGCACGCCCCTGCCTCGCCATGCACATGTGCATGCACGTGCCCCCCGCCCCGGCCCGTGGCCCCCACCCACACAACCTTGGCAGCCCGCACCCGTCACCGGCACCTTTCAACTGGCCCCTTGTTCAAACAGTTTGAGGACCCCTGCTCTAAAGTCTCTGTCTCTGCCTGCCTCCTAAGGGCAACCTGCTGTAAGAAGAGAGGTATGGACAGAGAAGAGGACAATTGATTTCAGAAAAAAAACTTTCAGCAAAAAAATGGGAGTGGGAAGCAGGAAGTGAAGCACATGTGGACAAAAAGCCACCTAATTTGGGGACAATAGTAACCACAGGGCCCCTGCAGGTTTATTTCAGCAAGCACCATGGACAGTGGGGTGGGGGGTGGGGTGGGCAGAAGGTTTCCAAGAGATTCAGGGCTGCAAATGGACGTGTTGAGACTTCAGCCCTAGTGGGCACTTTAACACCCGTCATTCCACCACAACACAACCCTAAGCACAACCTGATTGTTGTTAGGCATTCTCTTGACGCTATGGATCACCCCGTGGTGTGGGAACTTATTCCCCGCTGCTGCTTTTGGGGAGACGTCTGGGAGAGACTTGCCTGCTTCATCGACGTTTAGGAAGGGGGAAGAGCAGAAGAGGACGAAGTAGTCAGGGAGAAAAGAAGCGAGGAAGAGGAGGAGGGACGGAGGGGGAGCCCTGGGGAAGGGGGCGTGGCTCGGCGGGCCGAGAGCCCGATAAATAGAGAGCCCTCGGCTGAGAACGCGTCGAGGAGGACTTGCACGGACGGAGCGCTGGTCAGCACCGCGGACAGCGACACCCCGCCGCCTCTCTCCTCCCGTCTCACCCATCGCCCCAGGCACACGCGCTATGGCCGCGGCGGAGACTTACCTGCAAGGAGCGGAGATCTCCGCTTCCCAGTTTTTCGAAATCTGGCGTCACTACGACTCTGACGGTGACTCCTTTCCCCTGCCTCTAAGCCCCGTCGCGGCTTGCAACCCAACAGGGGGTCGTGGGGTTGTGGAGGGAATCTGAGCAGAGCAGCAGAGCTGGCGGGGCGGGAGAGAAGCAACGAAGGAAAAAGACTTTCTTCTCAGTTCTCTTCCGCGAGCGGGAAACTTTCCCTCTGCGAGCCAGAACTTCCGCCTGGTCGAAGCTGGAACGACGGGGGCCTTTGGCGGAGCCGGCCGCCTGGAAGGGGCCTATGCACCGGTCTCAGCCCCCGGGTGATCCCTCTGGTTGCCTTGGGACTGCACCTGCTCGAGAAGGGGTCTTTTTCCTTCTTTAGGAAGGCTTCTAAGAGTTCAAGAGCTTCCAAACTCGAAATGCTAATTTTTTAAAAAAATCAAAATATAGAACCCAGGAGAAAAACAGAATTGTCCGGGAGAGGGGTGGAAGGAAAGCTTACAATCCTGTAGCTACTTCTTTGAGAGTAAGCCTCACTGAACTCAGTGGGACTTGCTTTTGAGTAGTCTTGCCTAGGATTGCAGTGAAAGGGTGCATAAGCAATCTCGGAAGCATCCCTGTTTTGCAAAGTGAAATAAATACCTTTTTCAGCAGGGAAGTGAGTGAGAGAGAAACATCAGCAGCTGTAATAGCAACACACTCTCTTTTGTGTTACAGGCAATGGGTACATGGATGGGAAAGAACTGCAGGATTTTATCCAGGAGTTGCAGCAGGCACGAAAGAAAGCAGGACTGGTAGGTGAAGATGTTTCTCCCCTCTTCCCTTTATCTCACCTTAATTCCACTATAAGGAATTTCTTATAGTGAAGTTATGTAATCAAGTGATTTCTGTCCACATTATATTATATTACAAATATATAAAGTACAAATGAATCTGACTTTGTAAAATGAAAAGAAACATAGATGTCTGGAAAACCTGATTGACATGAATCTAGACAATAAACAAAGTTTCTCGCATCCTTCCATGTCTAACCTAGAGGAAACTATCTTTTTGTAATATCTGAGTTCTAAAGGTTATGCCTGTTATGAAAAAACAATTGTTTGTTTCCACCAACAGATTTCCCTGGTCCCTTCTTATGGCTTAAAGACTGCTCAAAATTAGTTGGACATATCCTTCATATGTGGGCTGAAATACATTTCTGCCCCTTGGTGGCCAATAACCAGATCTACACATTAAGTCTAACTAGATACATACTAATTTGAGATTAGGAACTGAGAACATTAGGACTAAATTTGAACTGGTGCAGCTGACAAAAATGTTTCCTTGGGAGTGCGAGGTGAGGGGGGGGTGATAATAATCAATATACCATTTGGAGTTAAGGATGAAAGATGTTCTGGAATGTTAAACTAATGTTTTCAAATGAAGTTTAATCAACATTTGCACCTTAAAATAAGAAATATAACATCTTAGCATCCAAACAGTATCAGCAGAAACAGAACAAAAGATTGGGTACTGAATGAATATAATTTTCCACAAAGCAATTAATTCAAGCTAAAATTAAAAATCCAATTATATAATTCAATTATAAAACACCTTTAACACTAACCATTTCATAATGACATAAGCTTTCATGGATTTTTACCCACTTTGTCAGATAGTGGGTAACTGATCAACTGTAAAAGCTGTTCCATATCCTTAGAAATAAAGCTGAAGCCACTAACTATATTTGTAGGATATTTATATATTTCCTATCAGTTTATTCCAATATTTTAACGTACATTTGAGTTGCCTGTACTAATTATGAGCTACTAATTGTGCAGTTAAATCTGTTAACTGCACAAATTAAATTTGTGCAGTTAAATTCTGGGCACAGAATATACAATTCTGTGCCCAGTTTATGCAGGTGCTAGATAATAATTACATATATATTTTACCTTGGCATCATAAAAACCTGTTTATGGTTGCCATCAAGGACCAAAAGATTGGTACAAGAAATAATTTCTGATAGCTTCCATTGTATTTTGCAAGTGATGACTAATCTGTACCATGCATCTTTTTCTGTCTTTTGCCCAGTATTAACCCTTTCTTCTGTAATATGGATAATTATAAATGTACCAATATTCTTAATTTATTGTTAGAAGTAGATCTTATAAAATTTATTCCATTTTAATAAGTCATTAGAAGTTTTCAATGGAAAAGAATGCTTTAAAAGAAAACATACTTTTCTTCCCAGTTTTCCTTCTTTAGAATTGGTGTCAACCACCTACTTAGAAATTAGAACACTTGCAAAGTGATATATAAAATCCCTCTAGGCACTTTCTTGTGTGCCACCCACAGTTTCATTTATGCCTTTTTATAGATTCTGCCTGTACACCTGCTTATGCTTTGGAAGTGATCAAGTGTACTTATTCAGTTTCCCATTGACATTGCCTCTGTACAAGGGTATTTCTGGAATATTCTTAGAAGGGCAGGACCAGACTTCAGTTTTCTCATTAGATCATCCAGTGATCCTTGTTCCTGGAGGACCTTTTCTGGAATGATGAATCACAGCCTATAAGAAACTGTTATTGGATTTGGGAGTCCATTTCCCAGAAAAGTATTTCACTAGTTCCCTTACTCCAACTTGCTGGACTCTGTTTCCATAGCTTGGAATTTCATGTCCTTTTTTAGAATGTATTTCTGGAGAAATCAATCAGTTCTATGCAAGTTTTGTGGCTGTACCATTTTTCTCATGTCCATCGTAATACTTGATTTGTTTTTACATTTTGGAAAGTTTCCTTTCCTTTAAACTGACAGCATTATGTAATAATTCTTTGCAGCATAATTTTGACTAAATCTCATTCCGCAGAAGTGGTAGATAAATATCTTTTATATTTCCAGTCTGAATTTTTTTATGGCATTCCAATTTATGATGCCAATATTAACTAATATTAATTAGGTAACTGGAAGACCAACTGAAAAAATTATGTATTTATTTATTGAAAACTTTTATATGCCATCACCACATGCCTCTGCATCTTGGGATGGCTCACAATGTATAATTAAAAACAATAAACAATAACAAAATCCATAAAATTATATAAAAACAAAAACAAAGAAGCGACGGTCAACAATAAAATATTAATTTTTAAAATAGTAATTAAATAAAAAATTAATGACAAATGGAAATTCTATTATACTCAGTACAATTAATAGGATGGAAAAGGAAGCTCTTTAAAAATTAGATTACTTATAATTAATTTGAAGTGATTGGAAAATTTGTCAGCATTGAGAATAATAATTTCCTTTTTTCTGAACTTGCATAGAGTACTGAATGATAGATGACAGATATTTTTGGTCTCTTTGAAATTTGTGGATTATTGTTTATACTTGTTCAAAATCCCTTAGTAATTTCATTTAGTTTATCCTACATACACACACCTTTCCTGTGTGTGTGTGTGTGTGTGTGTGTGTGTGTAAAAGAAAGAATCTTCTTGGATTTTTTTTCCTCCTCAAAAGTTACCAATGTATTAAAAAGAATAAATGACCACTGCTCTACCTATTTCCATAAGAATAAGCCCCACTGAATTTGATGGTTCTTATTTGTGAGCAAGCAGGCAGAGGATTGGGCTGCACCTATAGCAGATGAAAATATTTAAACAGGTCTAAGTATATATGACCTTTCATGACCAAAATTTAATTAAAAGATAAAATTTGAATATGTCCTGCCACTGAAAGTGAATGTGCATAATCTTTCTAAGAGGAATTACTTTCTGGGCATGATGGTATGTCTAGGAGGGTTTGCTTTTAGTTATGGTTAATGTCTGACTAACAAGCATTCAGTAAAATGCACATCGCTGCTTGTTGTTTAATCATTAACTAGTTGTACCTTGGTAATTAGCTACAGATTAATTTCCAATAAGCCTCATTTAATTCCTCTGAGGTCTGAATACTCCTTTTCAGGTCCTTCTAAATTATAGGAGCAGTCCTTTCCAATGCAATGTATGGAAGAATACAGCACAAGTAGTACAAGAAAATCAAGGTGCTTACCATGGAACTGTTAAACGGACCTTATGTATTGTGCAGAGATTGATTATTCTTCGTAAAGAGACGCCTTCCATAGCTGTGCTAACTTGATCCCTCCGGGTAGCTATCATTGTTTCATCAATATCTTTTGATGGGACTTTTGACATGAATATTGCACTACTTTGCAGAGTCCAGCAGGCTGATCCTGTATGAGATTTCTCAGGAGACCCACTGGGCTCCTAGAATAATCAGAAGGCTGCAATTTTGTTACCCTTATCTGAGAGAAGGAAGCGCCTTCGAACTCACTGGGATTAAACAGGCACAGGATCACAGCACACATTATAAAACTCAGTTGACTAAGAACTGTCCTAGAGACATGATATATTTATATTTACAACTTAAGGACAAGCTTTTGGGAGTGGAAATAGCAAAGGGAAGATTCTATTTAGTGAAGGAAGTTGCATGTTGAAGTAAAAAACAAACACACAACTCCTCTGCTTGCATAACGTTGCAGTGATGTCAAAGAACATCTGTACTATGACATGATTTGGTCAATCTTAACATTCGCATGTCAAGATTATCAAATCGAGGCACATTTCATGGATTTCAAGACTCTGAGATACCTTCAAGAAGGTCAACAGTTAAATGTGGTTGTCAGCATTTACAAGTATATCTGAAAAAAAGAGAAATAGTTATTTTCAGACATTTGTCTGAGATTGTCAGCATTCCGCTATTAATGAAAAGCTGCCACAAATTTGGAGAATTTCATATATAATGCACTAGCAAAGGGTAGAATTTGAACTTTGTAAGGGCTAGAGTAGACTATCTGAACTCAGTAGAACTAATTAGTCATGGTTAATTTAAGTCCCACTGATTTTCATTGGTCTGCTCTAAATATAGTTTACATTTGCATTTAACCCAATGAAAATCATTCTTGCTTATGGTATTTTATTAGGTATGAGTTACTTGGTGTGTGTGAGAGAGGGAGGGAGGGAGGGAGGTGCTACTTTTTTGTGAGGTTTACATTTTGATGCCAAATAACCCATTTGGAGACAAATGAAACTGATGGTGGAAAATATCTGTTTCCTGTGCCCTCACAGATTTTATTGCACCATTGTTTCCCTGATATGCTGCAGGTTCAGCACCCCAGACTCTTATTCTCCCTTCCTTCTCTCCCTCAACTGGCAAAGATTTCATTGTGTGATTTTAGCAATGTCATAATCAATCAAATGACTACTATCACTGGGGCAAATGCAACATTCTACTGCTCTCACTCTGAATGGAGGGGAAGAAGGAATTAACCCGGTCTCCCTTTCAATAGTATCTATTTTGTTCTGTTCATGTGTGGTTTCATTGTCTGCTGCCAGGTCATCATGCAAGAGTCTTGCTTGGATCAAGCACTAATTCAATAAGATTAGTTGGGACACTCTGAAGATGGCTATGCACATTTGGACATGGATTAATCCATCTTCAGTGCATTACATCCAATAGGGATTTGCATTTGAATACGCACATGCCCATTCTAACCCAGCTACTCAAGTGTACAGGAATGTAGAAGCACCAACCTAGTTTCCTTATCAGCAGGAATGTGCCACCTTGTGGACTTTTGATACGCATTTGCAAAGAGATACAGTCCTATCCTAAAGGGGGCACCTTTAAACTGTGTAAATGATAAGGGAACCAACCTTGGATGCGCTTTTTTTTGGCATTTCTGGCTGATAAAACAAAGGAAAAATAAGTTTTTTTCTTTTTAAAAATAAGTTTTTTGATTTTTAAAAACAATAACAAATTATTGTTTTTATAGTGAAATGTTCATAAGTTAAGTTCAAACAAGTCTGAAGAATGCGAAAGGGTTCAATCCCTGGAAATGCTCCTGTGCAACCATTGCTTTCTGTGCAGATTGTGTAAGAGAACTTCCTTTGGGAGGCAGGGCCTTTGGCGCCTCCTGTGTTTCTTCATCTAATCATTGCTGTGCTGTACATTTATAGGACCTAACCCCAGAAATGAAAGCATTTGTGGACCAGTTTTCAAAGTGTTCTGACGGAAAAATAGGAATAGTAGAGGTAAGATACCTCATTTATTGAATGCATTTGATTATACATGTTGGTCATAGCTTTGTGATGATATAATACTTTCTGAAAATATTTGTATTTCTTGATTTGCATTATTTAGCATAAAGTATGTGCTTTCTTCATTTTATCCTCTTGGTTGTGTCTGTTCCAGGGTTATCCTCAAGAAAAAAAATGCAGTTCTCAGTGATATGTGATCTTGAAATCAATTTTAAATGTGGACAATTTAGAAATTCCCCTTAATACAGTTAAAGCCCATGGCCCTGACTCACCTATACAAGCACCTTAACTCTGTATACCTTCTTCTCATTCAATGAAGTTGGAAATGCTTGAATTCAGAGAACTGACCACCCACTGAACAAGGAAAAGAACAAAATTCATTTTTCCTTAGTCTGCAAGAAGATAGTGGTATGATCAGAGCTAAAAGCATAGTCTTGATTGTTGATGGGAATAATACATATGATCCCAGAAAATGACTGAAGCTATGGTACAAGCACAGCATCAGTTTATTCACACGATTCCCAATACAATACTAGCAAGATCCCCTTCAGTTTCAGAAGATCCAGAGGGGTGAAAATGCTTAGGTTCTTGAATACTGTTTTTCAAATGCAAAACCTGTAGCAAAGATGCAAGAATGAATTTTTGGTTAGATTTGCTTTTAGCTAATTACAATTATAACAATTATGGAGGATGATCTTGTGGTTTCATTTTTTTTTTTTTTGCATGTCCTTTTTGTGATATGTTCTGGTTGCTTTTTATCATGTCAGCAGACAAAGTTAAACATATTTAAAGGTGAACAGGCAAAGTCCTACATATTTCAAAGAAAGAAAAGTAGGCAAATGTGAAGCTCTCATGCTTAAGTCAGTGGGACCATACAGTACTTCACTTAGTCTGTATCATGCCTTATGTTTGGCTACTGATTTATACATCAGCTCTTGCACATGTACATCTAAGTCAACATGTTTAAGATTGCAGTGTAAAATACAATGCAATGCATATTTACTTAGAAGTGAATCCCACTGAACCCAGTGCTACTGACTTCCAAGTAAGGATCAGGATACAAGGTGATGTGTGGTAATTAGTAAAACCTTGTCTTAATGCTCCATGAGTTAATAAAAACGAGAACAGCATGATTATTCTTCAAATTAACCCAAATAATCTTCCTAGCCTAAATCAGCAGGAGCTTTTAAGTGTACTTGGTGATTTAAACTATCAGAGCAACCTCTGGGAAAACCTGTGGTGGGGAATAAGTGTCCCTAAGACAGCATTTTTATACTGCCATCCTATTCAGGTTGACCCAGACATAAGATCCACTGAGTTCAATGGAACTGATAGGTTGGTGTGCATAGGACTGGATTGTTAAGTTACAGTACTTGCTCATTCAATGCATCTCAATCAGCACGCCGTCATACACAAGAATTTCTAACATGGTATGCTAGAAACTGTATGTATTGGGGAGGTGAGAAAAAGGAGCACCAACAAAGGGCTGGATTATATTCCCAACACCTAATTATTCCTACTTTCATCTTCTCCCATTTACTCTCTCCTTCATTCTTTACTCCCCTAACCTACCCCTTCCCAAGCCCGTCAGAGCTCATCCTGGCCTGGGGATGCAGGTACCCTTTTAAAATATATCATCCAGCAATGGGAAGGAAAATATGCATGCTAGCTCCGGTATATAATTTTGCTGTTCCTAAAGGAACACTGGAAGAACAGAGAGATCTTGGATTCAGGGGATCCATGGCTCCTCCCGAGCCATGCCCACTTTAGCCTGTGTCACCAGTGGAACAGCAGTGACTGTAGAGTGTTCCACCACTGTACTGGCGGGACATCCACAGACAGAGACTGGCCACACTGAGTGCCCCTCAGCAGCCTCCCAGGCAAGCATAGGATTGCTCTCTTTGGTTTATTCAACTGCATGTTTCTATTAGGTATTTATTGAAAATGAACTTGTAAGGCATCAGTTTGGTTTGCCCTCTCTTCTTTTCTTTTTCTCCTCCTGTGAGGTGGCTCAGATCTTCCAATTTCAAAATACAAATAGTCTTATGAGAAGCTTGTTTGGAATAATTTAGAGACAACCTGAATAGTTTACCAAAGTGCATTTTTAGCAGGTCAAATGCTTAAGGTGAGGGAGATTTTAAGAGCATCTTCAACAGCATATATTAGCACGGTACATTTCTGAGCTTTTAGCCATGGCCCTCAGGCTAAAGTGTACATTTTGACAAGGCACTAGTTCTTCTAAAAGGCTCCCTTCCCTGCATTGCAGTTTATTTGTTCAAGCCTCTGCTTTCACTGAAATGGAACTTCAAATGTCTGTCCTTTTAATGTTTCCAGGTGGCAATTATGCCATGTTTGAATCATGTAAGTACATTTCTGCTAGGGAAAAGATGGAAGGTTTATCATGTTGGAGATCCTCAGATCTCCTTTCTTTCCTTGCCTGCTCCCCACCCCCTTTTCCCCAAAAGCACATAAATACTTAAGCATGCAAAATCAGTGATTAATTTTAGTAATCAATGCAAAGAAGTGACAAATCCTTTTAACACAAATGCAAATTAATTATTGTCCAGAAACTGATAACAATTTGCTGTCTCCTATCCTTTAAAGCAGTCATTCCCAGCCTTCAGATGAGGTTGGATCACAACTTCCATCATCCCTGACAAGCATACCAGTGGTCATGGGTAACTGGAATGGTAGCTGGTACAACTGGAGAGAACTAGGTTTGGGAAGGTTGAACTCCTAGGAGAAGATTGGTATGAGATGTGACCAGACACACTGCCCACCAGTCATGAATGTTGCCCATCCTGATAACCCCACTCTCTTTCTGTTCTATCAAGAGTCGTATGGGTTGCCCATATTTATGGCTGGCAATAGTCCTCCTGGGTCCCAGGTAGGGATCCTTCCCATTACTTGTTACACAGTCTTTAAACTGGATATTCCAGAGATTGAAGCAGCAACCTCAGTAGGCAAAGCATGTGCTCTCCCACTGTTAGCCAATTATGTTTCCATGTTTATGCATTCCATCAATATTCTATATTCCATAAAAATTCTATCTTTATGGAATTATGCTTCCATAAGAATCTTAATTCTGCTCAGTGGTTAAAGCTAGAAATGTAGAGGAGAAGCTTTCCTACCTCAAGCAGGAGAGTGGGAGGAATGGCAAATTGCATTCTTCCCCCTGCCCTGCAAGAGGAAGAAAGTTGGGATATAAATACGACGTGATAATGATAATGCAGGGAGGGGGGATCCCGCCAAATTAAGTTAAATGGTAGATTGTATCTTAATAGGCCGGTCAGATCCCATTTTCTCCAGCAGAACTGTTCATTTACTTAGGGAAGTGCTTCACAAGCAGCAGTTTGTACCCTCTTTAAACACATAACAAAACACACTTAGTGATTTTAAAAACCATAACCATCTCTACAGTTGCTTCTTTAAGATATAATTGTACAGTTCAGCGTTCTCGGTCTCATGCACTATATGACCATCGCACTGATGACCTTCAGGAGGAGTTAAAGAATAATTTATTTTGGTCTGTTGGCTTAATTGTATTCAATTACTTTGTATGTGGTTATTGTTAGTGTGTTGCACCCTAAACAAAGGTTTTATCTGCTGCTAGTTTACTTGTTTTATTGTATTCATTTCATTAGTGAGCTGTTTACTCAATATTGTCGAAAGGTTTGATTAAATAGTTTGGATTTTAAGTTCACATAATCTGTTTTGTGATGGATTCTACCCTGAAAAGCAGCCTCCAACAGCACAATCCAGCAGCCACTAGACAGCATTTAGATGGTCATAGGCAGGGCTTTTTTTGTCATAGAACGCACCGGCACAGCGTTCTGGCACCTTTTTTTGATGGATTTTTCCAAGGGATTTTTCCAAGTGATTGTGAATTGCCCTATCAGGCATAGCAGGTTGGAGGCAAAAATCATTATAATAGTGCATGCAGGCTGCTTGTGTGTCCGTGCTGATTGTGAGGGTGCTGCTCGGCTTGGAACGCTGTTCGGCTTGGGATTGGTCGTGTGGTCACGCACTGTGTGCTTACTGCCGGCGGCGACCATTATGTTTATGTGTGTGTAGAGTGACTGGCTACGTGCAAAAGGTAGATAAGTTCTTTATTTCAAAAAAAAGTTGGTGAATTTAAAATCTTTTTTAGTGTAAAAGTGTGACCCCAAGACGTGAGTTCCGGCACCTTTTTTTTAAAAAAAAAAAGCGCTGGTCATAGGATTTTCCTGATTGCTGCCTAGAAGGTTGGAAAATGGTTTAGATCACCCTCTGCTCTGGTGTGTAAAGAACCGCACCAGGTACTTCTCCGGGGCTGCATGAGCAACCATGGAGAAGGCCCTTTGGAGGCTCTCCAGGGGGCAGGGAGGGTGGGGAGAGACAGGCACTGACAAGATATGACGTATCCTGGCTGTATGTCTGCTTCCTTCCTTCCCACTCCAAAGTGCTGCACTTATAAGGCCAAAATGATGCTTTTCAGGAAGTAGAAATGTAAAGGAGGAGGATTGCAGAGGCAACATTCTGCCCATGCTTTTCCCACCCTCCACAGGATGCGTGTAATCTGCCAAGTTCAGAGGGTTATGGGCATCCTGACTGCATTGCATTCTAAATCTGTTAAAAGCAAGTAAATGAACAAATATGCTCAAAGCACTCAGTCTAAAACTCTTCTTAAAACCCTGCTTACTTTTGAGGTTAGGAATGAGGTGAAAGGTGCCTCATTTAATGTCCCATTAGAGCTGGTGGTAATTATAAGAACTATTAAGTAGTCCCTGCGTTTGCTTTATCCCTCTCCCCTCCCCATCTCATTTTCTTTCTGTTGTCATACCTTTTTAGATTTGTATGCCTACAGAAGACTGTCCTGTTTTATTTATTTTTATATTTATAAGCTGCCAAAAAGATCAAATGAGCTCTCTAGGTGGCATACAGCAATAAAATTATAACCAAACAATTAAAACTATCATTAAAATAACTGATTAATAAAAATACTAACACAGACAAGATTAAATTCAAGAAGCATATCCAGGTGAGATGGACAGCTAAATACCAATAAATTTTAAGCATCTAACATGTTAAAATCAATTAGTAACATTAAAATAGGTGCAGAAGAGGTTTTTTTTTTTTTTTTTTTTTTTTTTTTTTTGCCTTGTGCTGAAATGAAAACAGAGTTGGTGCCAAACTTCTCTGGGGAACCTGTTCCACAGGTGGGGGGCAGCCACTGAAAAGGCAGCCCTTCTCCTATTTACCATCGCTCTTGCCTCCTTTAGGGATGGCACATTCAGAAGGCCTCTTGGCCAAATCTTTATGGTCAGGTAGGCATATACTAATTGATTGTAAGTAAGCTATTACAGGGGGCTTTTCAGCTGAAAAGCAGCCTTTCAATTCTTCATACACTTTGATGCCACTTCTAGGAATTGGAGGGAAGGACTGGGCAAGATGCTTCCAGCAATCCCTTCCCCTGCACGCCTCTTTGCTGTTGTTTACTTGCTTGCCTCTCCCCCACCCCTACCCTGTCACTTGTCTTTTAGATAAGCATTAGATAAAGCGATATATTGATCTGGAAGTTTTCTGAGTTGACTTACACATGGGAGTGCATCAATGTAAAAATGCAGAATTTGCAACAGGAGCTCTCTGAAGGGTATGTGTGTGCAATATATTAATTCAGCCTTCCCTATACTTTTGCACATCCAATTAAAATAAGTGTTGCATTTTATTATTCAGTGTTAATTTTAGTAGTGAGTATTACACTGATATTTTTGACACTTAAAAAGTGTGTTGAGTTGCCCAGTTTGAACCATTCCTTTGAAAAGCATGAAGATACTGATGGAGGCTTTGCAATGAAAAATGGTGCTTCCAAACCAGCACTTTGCAATGATAATCCCACCAACACAGTCATTCTATTTCTAGCTCATCTAAATGTGTTAAAGCAAGAGTGTATGGATTAGGAGGCAGGAGCTGGGGACAGCTCAGGTCCTCCTGCATGGTCGCCATTAAGGCAGTAAGCTAGACTTGGGATCAAATTGGGTAGAGTCAAAAGGGAGTAAGGTCAAACGGGAGAGAATTTTAAGCTGAAATCTCAGACATAAGCCACTGAAGGGCAGCTTTGGATATGTTTCTGGCATGATGGGGCTTTGAGCTTTCTCTTTTCTTGCATGTGTGTATCAGTTGTACATATTGGGCACAAGTTGCATGTTGTTCAGCAGGCATGAAATACAAATGCTCTTTTTAGGTTGAGGGAGACAAAGGGGTCAAGGAAGAGGTATAAGGCACTGCCTGTTCTCTCTCACCTCTGCAGCTTTAGTCCGCTCCAAAAGTGCACCATTTAAAGTAAATCTGGGAACACAATCTCCCAACCATTCCTTCTCCTCAGTACGCAATGTTTTTTGCTGGGGATAATTAGCCTTTTCAATAATGAAACATTTATTGAAAATAGTCACATGGTTATAAAGTTCAGCTTTCATTAAAATATGATACTAGATTTAAATAAAAAATAAAAAATGAATACTTGATCAAGCAAATATGTACCAATGTAAAGATTCTGCAGAAAAACAATGCTTTGGATCCAAGGGCACTGAAACTGAAAATTCCTCCTACTAGAGGAAGGGAGGGAAGCTTTGAATCAAACCCATTAGTTCATTTTTCTGGCAGTGTAAGTACACAGAACTTTTCTCTAGTTTAGATCTTCATGGTCAGCACAGGAAAAGACCTCTGAGATTCTACCCAATATTCAAAGGCTATAAAAATATTGCAGTTCTTCAAGCATTTGCTGGATCAGATTAAGGGCCCATCCAATCCAGCGTTCTGTTCACACAGTGGCAAACCAGCTGCCTGCAGAATCTTGCAAACCGAACATGCGTACAACAGCACCCTTCTGCCTCCAGCAGCTGATATGGATACATACAGCTTCTGATACTGGAGGTAGCGCAGATCCATCCGGACTAGGAGGCATTAGTAGCCTTCTCCTCCATGAATTTGTTCAGTCTCCTTTTAAAACCATCCAAAATGGTGGCCACCCATGCATCTTGTGGAAGTGAATCCCACAGTTTAACTATGACTGTGGAGAAATACTCCTTTTATCTGTCCTGAATCAGCTTTGTGGAATGACCCCAGTTGTTAGCATTGTGGGAGAGCAAAAAAAAAGGTCTCCCTATCCACCAACTCCACTCTATGAATAATACTGTTTCTTTGTTTATTTTTATATAATAAACAAAGGATTTAAACAAAATGTTATCTTTTGCAGCTTGCTCAGATATTACCAACAGAAGAGAACTTCCTCTTGTTCTTTAGGTGTCAGCAGCTGAAATCAAGTGAAGACTTCATGCAGGTAATCCATATAAATCTTCCCTCTAAAACATTAAATTTCCAAATCCAAAATCTCCTCTTATTTATTAAATAGCTAACTTCTCAATTCCAGACATGGCGAAAGTATGACAGCGACCATAGTGGATTTATTGATGCTGATGAACTCAAGGTAAGAAATGTATGATTATCAAATTAGATGATATAACTCACCCTGCTCTGGGATGAAAGGCAACAAAAGCATAGCAAAACAAAATCAAATGAATGAAATACAAATTCTTTAATCTCTCTCTCTCAGTGGGAAGAGGCCATCTCTACAACATTTAGGGTCTAATCCATTTAAATTAAATAAAAGGATATGCATGCAGATGCAGTATAACTACTGTGCTGCTTCTCTCTCAGTGACAGAGTAATCTTGAAAAAAAGCGAAGTACGTGTGGCTTTAGAACTAGGTTTTTGTCACTATCTCCACTGAAGCTAGTTTGGAATCATTTGAGGATTTTTAGACCAGGTGTGTTGAACCTCTTCGAACCTGAGAGCTGTATTCACATTTGAAAAAGTTTTGGGGGGTGCTTTCTAGTGGCGGGACAGTCCACAGGCAAAAATGCTAGGACCAGAATATTCACCAGCATATTTTAGCTTAAGCTTCTTCCTGCTACTAAGTCTTAGGAGAAACATTTCTACATTTCTGAATGGGTCAAAATTTCACAAAAGCTGGAAAATCATCAAAAGTGTGGTGTCTGTAAACAGAGGAAAAGTAATTAGTCATGCAACCCCATCACCCCAAACCTTCCTGCTGTCTGAAGCAATACTCCAAGCAATACTTTTACCATGTGATTGTTTATGTACAGAGCCTTTCTGTGTATTTTGAAATGTATGCAGCAATGGTCTATAAAAATCCCCGTGGATTACCTCCCCATATATTAGATATTTTGATACAGACTGAAGCTGATTATCCAATGTGGGCAAAAGAAGAAGCAGGGCCATAGTTCATGCTTTGGGTGTAAGGGCCAGGTTTAGTCCAGTTAGAAGGTGCAAAGCCAGGAAAATGGCCTTCTTGAAATACTGAACGAGTGTCTGCAAGCCAGTTAATTCTGGGTTTAATTTCTATACCACCCAACAACTGAAGCTTTCTGTTTAGAGGGATAAAGCCAGCATTGCACGATCTTTGTGTGAGATTATTTGCCCTTTCTCTGCTCCCACCTGTTTTTAGCACTGTTACTAGACTGAGTGGTGTTTTAATTAGTTAATTACATGTTTATACTGTTCAGTGGTCATGGCTGTGAGGCAAATACATGCTGACAGACCACACTTGAGAAACAGTTTCTTGGGAATCATTGTTTCCTTATGCCACTGGCTACATTAGAGTTTGATTCTTATTGTCCCCTCAATGTTTTTTAACCTTGTTTAGGCCAGAAGTTCCTAATTATCAGTACAAGTGAAAAATCTCATTCTAAATAACAAAAAGCAACAATACTCTAAAGAATAATATTTAAGAGGTTAGAATAGGGGTGTGTGTGTGTGTTTGCGTGTTTCGCTTCCAGTGGATAGGCATTCCTAATTCCCATGCTTCTCATTTGTAAAAGATTTTAAATGTCACTAAACTAGGACAATCCACTGATCTACTGGGAAAACAAAAGTTTTTTTTTTTTTTTTTAATTTGAAGGGCATCAGTGAACTTACTCCCTTCTTTCAGATTTGCTATCAAAATGGAGATGTGGGATCTCTCTCAAAGAGCACACTCCAGCAAAAATTAACGGCCACAGTGTTTTAAGGCTGCCCTTAAAGGTAGAACCTTATACTCTGTGCAACACAGCAAACCAGTTTCCATGCAGGCAACTCAGTTTAGAAATCAACATTATACTAGCAGCATCTTGAAAACCAGGAGTTGGATCCAGTTGTGCCCACAGAAGAAACACCACCAGTAGAATAGACTGCCATGTCCTTTCATCTGTGCTGAGGTCCATCATGTGTCTTCCAGGTCTCTGAAGGATCCTTAATCTTCCCAAGCAGATCTGGAGGACACTCAGGACTACACACACTTTTGGGCTGATCCATGTCCTCAGTCTTCCCAGTAATTAGTCTCAACAAGCACCTGTTCAGAAGGGCAAATTGGAGATGAGATTTAGTTTCCCATCAATCCATCCCTCTCCCCACCAACTAGCTGACTCGCAAAAGTACTGCTTTCTAACAGAATTGCATTGCACAATCAGGCACCATTTCAAAAGGGTGTGTGTTTGTGCATCCTCCAAATTCAATATGCAACCTGTGGTAGGGCAATGTGCTTAATAGTGTTTATTAGTTAGAGTGAGGAAGTTGCCTCAGGCAGCAGGAGCTGGGAGGCAGCCACCTGGTGTTGCAAGAGAAAGCTGTGGGTCATGCAACCTGGTCTCTGCCCCTCTGAATTAGCCTCCTGCCTTCAAGTGTAACGGAAACACTGTTCCGTTGTCAGTATTGGACAAATATTCAAGTGCCCATCCAGTCGGCTTTTGTGCAAGGAATGAGCAAGGGGGCCATCTTGTCTTAAACCTCAGGCAGCAAAATGTGCTCACTGTACCACTGTGCACATGTGCAGAGCAACTGCAGCCCATATGTTGAGCACCTGGGTCCCAGCCGTTCCTTGTGCCCTCTAAGGGAATGGAAGGCAGAGGAGGAGCAAGGAAGGTCCCTTTCTTGTGCAGTTGGCTGCTTTGGCTTCCTAGCCTGTGATATAGACTAGGCACCACTCTGGAAGCCAACTTGCTGCATGAGGTGGTTTCTGGAGGCTTAGCCTGGAGTGGAACCGTTTCTTTCCAATCTGCTCTTGGGCTTAAACAGAGCTGTATTACATATTTGTGACAATGTGGGGTAAGTGGTGTTGGGCACCCCACTTTCCACCCAGGTATACCATAATGACAGGGGAATTGAACCTCTCTCAATGGAAAGACTGAATTCAATTCTTTAGGAATTCTTGGGAGGTCACATTCCAGTGGTGGATGAAACAAAAGGAAAAAGGTCAAAGTAACAACAGCAGCAGCAACACTCCCCAGCATCTTAAAGCTGTTAATGCAAGTAATTATGCCTTCGGAAAGGCATTTCAGTCTTTGAGAATGGGAGTGGTGGGACTACACAAAAGCCAAGAAACCATCAGGGCATCTTCAGTCGGAGTGCAGAGGCTGGAGACAGGGCAAGGGCATTTGACCATCTGGAATCCCACATCCTCCTTTACAGCTGGCACAGAAAGAACCACATGGGCTGCTTCTCCAAGGTTGTAAGAGCGACCTTGGAGAAGGGGGACAGAGGGGATTTGGGGACAGGGAGAAGAAGGGAAACAAGGTATCCTGGCTCCAGTCTCCTTCCCTTCCTGTCCAAAACACTGCAGCTAGATGATTATTTCATTTATATACTGCCCAATAGATGAAATGTAAGGTGAGAAGAACAGGGAGGTAGGCTTCTCCCACCCTGCACAGAATGCCTGCAGTCCTCTCAGTTTCAAGGCTTATAGGCATCTCCACTGGACTGCGCCTTTAGCCCACAGTGCTGTATCCTGTTCCATCTTGGCAGCACTAGTGACTATTGATTTCCAGGCTTTACTTTTAAATAAACACATTGCCTTATTCTTTAATATGCTAATAAAATCCAGGGGTACAGTACAATCCTGTGCAGATTTTCTTAGAAATAAGTACTATGGTATAAGTTCAATAATTTTGTAAGCTGCCTAGGGACTTTTTAAAGTAATTGGTGGCATAGAAATGGAAATATAAATAAATATAAATAAATAGTAAGTTTAATGGTAAGTATGAGCAGATTTGTAAGCCTTCTGTATTCAGAGGAAATACAAAACTTGTTTTGTGTTTCAGTATGATTATGAATACGAAGAAAAAAAAAAACTCACCAAAACAGTAAATCAGATTAATTATTGTCTTCTGATTTCTGTTTCAGAGCTTTCTGAAAGACCTACTACAGAAAGCAAACAAGCAGATTGATGATTCAAAGTTGACAGAATACACAGACATCATGGTAAGAAAAATACTAACAACTATTTAATTTAGAGGGTTTATTATCCCCTCTCCCCATAGTAAAATGCAACTGTTTAAGCTTTAATATCTTTTCATGAGCATCTCCATCTCCTCCCCACTGAAAAATGGACTAGCTGGCTGCATAGACATAGAGGCACATTTGAGATTACAACACAACAAGCTGTCAACAGCTTCCATTCATTTCAACAAAATTTCTGCACACTCCCATATAGTGGAGTTTGAAGCAGGCAGCTTGTCCATGCTCCAGTTCAATTGTGACATAACCATCTTAAGAGTTTGTCTTTGCAAAATATCCATAGCAAACTAATTATGGAAAATCAGTTCTTCTGAATGTGACATCATTTTGTGAAAGGGTGGGAATTAAATAGTTACGTTAATAGATTCCACATAATTTGGTTCTAGCACTGATATATTTATATATTTTTAAATCTCACTTTTAAGGTGGCTCCCAATTCAGAAAAACAAGGAATTATAAGACAACTTATTAAAAATCAGAACAATGGGTTGTGTCTAGAAGCGCCCTTCCACGAACAGAATAAGCATGGATGTAGTGAAGGCTTTAATGAAAAGAAGGGAAAAAAATGTTAGGTCCACAGATTCCTCCTGAAGCATGCCCCATGCTTTGCCAGGGGAGTTTCCAAATTTTCAGTGGGCTGTAAGGGAAAAGAGGAAAAGAGATGCAAGAGTGCCTGGTTCCTTGAGCAAAACTCTAGATCTAATCCAATAAAAGCTAGAGCTATAAAAGAGCAGCCATAGATGAAAAGTGCATTTAGGGAGCCTTCTCTTTCAGTGTCCACTGCCAAAAGTTGAGCAGCCAAAGGGCCCGGTGTACATCCCCTGGGAAGCCAGTCTGGTTGTATTCAGTGAATTATTTTCATTTTTATCTTGCCAAAAACACTCACATGATCCCCCAACAATCTTTCAGCTCAAGATGTTTGATGAAAACAATGATGGAAAGCTGGAACTGACTGAAATGGCCAGGTATGTATATTCAGAGGGCAACAGGAGAGAAATAGTGGCTAGCAGTGCCAATCTAAAGATGAAATGTGAGATGGGAAAATCACCTCAGGTGGCTGAGAAACAGTTTCTATGAACTGCAAAAGCCAAATGTATCCAGGATATAGAACCCTTTAATAAAAGATATCTGTCTTGTACAAAGAAAATGCTCCAAGGGTGCAATCCTATGCATATTTACGTAGACTGAAATGTTATGCATTTTGCAGCATTCCTCTAGCTGATAATGCAGCTAGAGCATGCTGGAATACTATTGCTTTTTCCCACCTAAGCATGCGTAGGATTGCACCCCGAAGGCATATTTTAGTTGAGCAGTTAGAAAAAGAAGAGTTTCCTCCACAGGAAAAAATTCACATCCAAAATGCATTGGATATTACATTTTTTAATAAATTTTATCAGGATCTATTGAGGTCATCTTATCCTTTCTTCAGAAAATACATATTTAGACCTAAGTATAGCATATGATACTGTCTTACTAATTGCTTTGAACCCTCTTGTGTTTTCTCCAAAGATTGCTCCCAATACAAGAAAACTTTCTCCTAAAATTTCAGGTATGCAACATCACCCTCCAAATTGTGCACAATATATAAGTATAGATATATTCTACTACTTTTTTTTCTAAAACCCATATTTTTTAATATTAGGGTGTCAAAATGTGTGGAAAGGAGTTTAAGAAAGCTTTCAATACATTTGATTCAGTAAGTATATGCTTTTTTACCCATTCTGTGCAACAAATGTTCTTAAATGTTATGCATATAACAATTTCAGAAAAAGCTGCAGGAATGAATATTAAAAATCTTCACATCTGTTTGTTTTCAGGATGGGAATGGCTACATAGATGAAAATGAATTAGATGCTTTACTGAAAGATCTCTGTGAAAAGAACAAAACGGTAAATCTAATTGCTTTTATTTTCATTAGGGTGCAGGCTTATCAATTGCACTCTCGATGTTCATAAGCCACCAAATTAGCAGTGTAAAGCAGCAGTAGCAGTGGAAATTGTCTCTACCTCCCTTTGCCTCCCACTTTGAGGTTCAGCAAGCTGGCAAATTTTGGTCATTTGGCTGTAGCACTTTGGAGGCAGAGGGCAGGTAGCAAGAATGCTGTTAGGTACTTCTATGCTGGCAGCCCAAAACTTTACTTCTTCCTGCCCTGGAAGACTTTCTGGACCTGAAGAATCAGCTGGTGCAGTTCTTTCCATGCAGGGTATGAGATGGTGAGAAAAGGGAACAGAGTGCAGATGCCTAGTTCCAAGGTTCTCTTTCTAGCCTTGGATTTGGGACTCCAACTTATAACTCTGCTTTAGCAAATCAAGCCCGAGTCAAGTTAACTTTTGTGAAATCCAGTAGATTAGGATTTCTGTGTACAGAAAGAGGGTGCCTAATGACAATATCAAATAGTGGATGATTACTTCAAAGTCAACAGTAAAGCCACTTCAGTAAAGTTGTTACTATCTCTCTCAGCTTTGCCCCAAGGCTGAGAAAAAAATCAGAAGCTGACCAATATTCCTCTTTTGAATTAAATGTGAATTGATGGTGTTGCAGTCCAAAAGTGACTCATCCATTTTACACTGAAGTTTAAGGGCAAGGGTCTGTTACCGCACATATCTTAGTCCCCCCACCCCCAAAAAATCTATGTAAATTATTACCGTTGTTTTTATAATCTTATATTGCATACAAGTTATTGCTGCACAATAAACCCATTTTCTGAAGGCTACTGAAGTAAATCAAAGGCCAAACTAGACACTACACCACTGCTAATTGCATATACAGTTTGTAAAGTATAAATTGTGTTGTGGGTGGGTGGGGGGTGTGATCTAGATTATTAGTTGTCCACAGGCTGATTTCTGTATTTTTTAAAAATGCATGAATGATGGCACAACTAGTTTGGCTCATTAAAAACACTTGGTGGAATACAATTTTCCAAAATATATTCAGGTGCATTAAATGCATTGTCAGGTGCATTAAATGCATTATTCAGTGTATGCTTTAGATACATGGATAGATCGATTAGTCAGAGCTACAGTATCTATCCATCCATCAACTACATGCATCCCATCATCCGTATGCACAGAGCTTCATGGGATCCAAGAGGACAGCTCAGGGCTGTCTTAATGCATGGGCCTGATGGGCACTTGCCCGTGGGCCCCGTACTAATCTGTGTATGTTAACCCTTGGAAAATTGGAAAACTTCCAAAATTAACAGTAGTTGTACGTAGGGGCCCAGTATACTGCTTTGCCTGTGGCCCATAATGCTGTTAAGACGGCCCTGGGACAGCTTTGTTTTCACCCATATTCACACTGATTGAGCTCTGATTAGACTTCTCTCCATAAAGGACTTATCCCTTGTGCATTATGTTGGTAACTGATCAGGATTATAAAGCATCTTTTCTTTTTTAAAACAGGTATTAGATATTAACAACCTTCCAACATACAAGAAGAACATCATGGCCTTGTCTGATGGAGGAAAGCTTTACCAAAGCGAACTTGCTCTTATTCTCTCTGCTGCAGAAAATTAGAGCGCTTTGTTCATTTCCACTTAACTAGTGATATACTGTATCTTCAAAAACAAACAATAACTGTGCACTATACGGGAGTAGGCTTTACTTTCTTTTATACCTTGTAAATTTAAAACTGCATATAGATAATTATTAGCCAGGACATGTGGCACATTCTTTTCAGCTTGTTTCTATACTGTTTGTAATGTACAGTTTTTGTAACTATAAGATTGATAAAGAGGATGTCTATGTTTGGGCCAGTCTGTTGATTCCTTTACTAAAGTGGTTGTGTTTTCATGGAAAATGGTTGGGAGAAGAACTTAACACTCAGCTAAGACTGGTTTTGGCTTGTAATACCCTTTTGGCATTTGCTGCGGCAGCTACAGCAAAAATGATCTACATGAATTAAATGGCCATTCTTACCGTGAAAAGCACATGTTCAGAATCAGTGGCATGTTATTCAGAATTTAGGACAGACAGCTGGCCTGTGGCACACTTGCCACAAGTGGCCCACATAGCATTTTTTGTGGCACATATGGACAGGAGACAGGAGGGTATATGGGCCTGGCTACTGGTGGCCCCTCAGATATTAGAACCTACAACTATAATGGTGATGATGACATAACATTTATACGCCGCCTTTTTTCCCCTTGCAAGGAACACAAGGTGGCTCACAAAGTTCTCCCGCATTAAACCTTACCATTGGCTTATATTCACTAGTGCCGACAGGAAATGTAGGCCAAACTATTTAGAGGACCACAACTGGCCCATACTCTTGCCTGGCTCAACAGAACCAGAGTGAGGCCTGCTGGCTTAGTCAGTAGACTACAGGAAAAACAATCCAAAGACATGGAGCAGCTTCATAGGAATCATACTGTAGGTACAGCAGAGTGACACTTGTTCAAACTCTGAACTTAAGTTGTGGCACAATTGCCAAAAAAAAAAAGCTAGCCAGCACTCAGGAGATGCTTGAATCTGATGAGAAATTATTGTCCATTACTTGTAAGCTATAGTAAGTGCAGTGTTCATCTAAGGGGGAATGCTTGGGGGCTAATGAGATACATGCGTTGACAATAGAAAACTTAGCAGCACTGTAGTTTACCAGTGTTTCTTCTTCCCACCAAGTTATCCATTTCACAGCTATCCAGTTTCTCTAGATGCACATACCAAGGTCACTACAGTGCCTCGGGATACTGAGCCACTGAACTTCATAAGAAGCCTTTAAGCTACCTGAACAGCCTGGCAGGCACAAGAATGTCTTCTACCAGACAAATTGCAAATTGGTAAACAAAGAGTACCTTAAATTAAAGGCAGGAAGAATTCATACACAAACTAACCGTGTACTATATGTTAACTTTAGCATTAACAAATGCTGCTGTGTCAGAGTATGACAATTCATTTTCTAAAACTATTTCCACACTTTGCAGAATATTAAAATTCTCAAAAACTGCTGTTTTTACATCATTCTGTGTAATCTATAATTAAATTTAATATACTAAGATGACTGGTGTCTAGTTTGTCTGCTTCCTATATTGTTATTTAGCAGGTAATAAAGTGAAATGAAACTTGCCTTCATATAGCCTTAGCCACAGCACTGTTAAGTGTAAGTATGGCCCCGGTTAACCTTCATAGACACAGTCTAACAAGAATTCTTAGTTCCCTGACAGATTATTGAGATAGCCCCTCACTTTCATCCTTGCATGCCAAACATTTCCATTGAAATTAATGCGGTATGTTCATAACTCAAGTTGGAATCTGATAAACCTTTACTTGAGGAAAAGCCACAATTAACACAGAAAAAATCATGTTCTGAATAAACACTACATGATCAAGTTGTGCACCCCATCTAATTATTTTCAGTAACTTAGTTACCACTCGATTTTGATACATTTTGTCCACTGATGACAAATGTGGAACTATAGCAGCTGTTCTCTACAACTATCCGGCAAACTGGGTTATAAAGTGAATCTCATAAGATTTCTGGCCTACATGAACAAGTGTACTAACATAATTGCATTACTTCAAGAACTAAACCTGCAATGCACTCAGTCCCTTTGGTTTAAAAACAGAACTTTTCAAAAAGAACAGCTTTGGGGGCATTCGGTCTATGGGATTCTGTTCCCTTTTCACTACAACTTAAAACAGTCCCTAGTCTACTCAACTGTTAGAGACCAGAACTTGTATATTCCTATTGATTAAATGGATTTGTTTCTGCTGAAAGTATGGCTTTTATGAACAGACACAGTTTACATTTTTCCTTTAAAAACACTTACAAAGTTAGTTATATAAAATAAAGGTGCTAATTTTGTCCTTTTTATATAAGGGCTAACATTCATTTCACAAAGATACAAATAGCCTCAAAACAAGTAAGTGCTTTGTGTTTTAATTCTGAAATTTCTACTAAATTAGGAGGGTATCTGAGTGAGAAAAGGTTTAGCACTTTAAGGGTGTGATCGTCTGCTTGTTTACACAGGAAAAATGGTCAAACAATTCTCAGCATCTTAAGTCAAATAGCCCATACTTATAATTCTACTTTAAGTATAGAGATCTAATTGTTCATCTTCTCATTTGCCTCCAATTTCTCTACTAAATGTAAAAGATGATTGTGTATTTTAAGAGGAAAATGATTATCCCTAGAGGCATAATTATGAATAACAAATTTATTGAAAACTTAGATGGTCAATGAAACCTTGATTTTTGCTTTCATACTTAACTGAGAAGGAAAATGGGATTTTTCTGCTGTAAATTTTTGTGATGCAAGATGCCCACTTGTTACATGGATTAGAATTGTTGTTCTTATGTGTCATCAAGCTTTCCCCAACTTATAGTGTCTGTGTGAATACATGCCCTCCAAAATATCTTGATCAGCTCTTGTAAATTCAAATTATTTGAATTAATCTCCTAATTGGCCTTCCCTTTCTTCTCCTGCCTTCGACTTCTCTAGATTGGTTGTCTTCACCAGTGTGTCATGCCTTCTCATGATGTGCCCAAAGTATGATGTGCCCAAAGCTTCAGTTTTGTCATTCTTGCCTCTAGAGAAAGTTCCCACTTGACTTGATCTAGGATCCATTTGTTAGTCTTTTTTTCATTCCAAGGTATTTGCAAAGTTCTCCTCCAGAACCATGTTTTTAATGCATCCATTTTCTTTTCAGCTTTCTTCACTGTCCAGTTTTCACACCCATATATAGTGACGAGGTTGTTGTGAGGGTAAAATTGAGAATTATGTAGGCTGCCTTGAGTTCCTGGAAAGGAAAAAAGGCAGGATGTAAATATAATAAATAGTACTGTGGATGATCTTGGCCTTGGTCTCCAGTGAAATGTCCATACACTTGAAGATCTTTTCTAGTTTCTCCATTGGTGCCTTTCAAGTCCCAGTCTTCTAATTTCTTTGCTGCAGTCTCCATTTGATCTGATGATTGACCCAAGATGTGCAAACTCATTGATGATCACCATTTTGTTTCAATATTTCTTAGCATTCAGCTGCAGTTCTGCTTTGCACTTTCTTTCACTTTCCTTATTTCAATTCATTGCTGCTTTCTGCCAGAAATATGGGATTATCTGCATAGCTTAAATTAGTGATGTGTTTCCACCAATTTTCATTTTCTTCTGATCCTTATTCAGATTTCCTTATGGTATGTTCTGCATACAGATAGAACAAATAGAGAAAATGCGCCCTTGTCCAACATCTTTGCCTTTGAGAATCCATTCTGATATTCTGTATTCTCTCCTAACAGTAGCCTCTTTTCCATGATACATGTTATACATGAGGATGATCAAGTGCTGGGACAAACCCATTTTTTTCAGAATCATCCATAGTTTCTTGTGATTCATGCAGTCAAAGACTTTGCTGTAGTCTATAAAGCATAGACCGATTGCTTCCTGCAATTCTGGTGCACTCCAGCAGACAACTTATACTTGAGATATGGATTAGAGTTGAGGGGTTTAAAATAGTTCCTACTGAAAATAAAATAAAATAATAAAATAATGCTATTTTTTGTGTAAATAATACTTTGGATATTGTCTCACAGGGATATCAGAACTGTTAGTGTTTCCATATTGTCCCCAAAGCAGAAAATTTGTTAATTTATCATCTATGATAGCACAATTATTAGAGAAGTCTGAAAGCGGGACTCCTGCACGTTGTTCCACAAATAAAGGCTAAGCAGGTTAACTGTTTCTTAGACGTGTAGCAGGGATATGGCAACTGCTACATCGCTACATCGCTAAAAGCCACCTTATTTTCCCTGGTGACAGACTGCAATTCTAAATACACTTACTAGGGATTAAGCTCTATTAACAAAGTAGAATTTATGCCTGAGTAAGCATGCACAAGTTTAGTTATGACAACCACTAAAACCTCCCCCTTGGTTTTTTCGTTTTTAAGACCACGCTGCCTGAACAGGCTATTACAGGTTGAGCTCTTACAATACTTAATTACAGCAGAAAGGAAGGGGGGCTCTTAATGAAGCTCACATGATCCACCCAATTATTCACAATGTTAGCCAAATCATGCCCTCCAAAACATTCTCAAAACAGTAGCTATTTGGGCAGGCCAACGGCTTCATACGGCCATTGGAACAGCTTCATGTATTTGTATTTAATATAACAGAAGGATCTGCCCATGGATATCTGCCCATATGCCATCTGCCCATAGCTGATAAACTATGTAAGACACCAGTAAAAGATTAGGCATACATTGATGTTTTTATGCGAAATTTATTTTGCATTTTAATCATTTGCTCTATTTTTAAAAGTTTATCATCATGATCTTATTAAATCATTAAAAGTTGACTGTTTAGCAAATGTAGGTTGACATTTATATTCATGTTGAACAAAACAATCAATCACGAGTAACTGAAATGTTACTCAGGAAGGAATCCATAATGACACGCCTAAATATAAGTGCCCCAATTTTCACAGTTGCTGTGTGGCTAGATATCAAATGGAGCAACCCAGTGCTGTGAATTTTGGAAATTAGGCCAATGCAGATCAATTATCATTTCATTTGACTATATTTTATGCTCACACATTAAAGTGCAGGGACACAAATCATAAATAGTGCTCAGCAGAGGGTTCCGACTCATTTCATAACAGCAGAAATCGCCACACCAAGAATAGACTCAATTCAGAGTGCAGCCTGGAAAAAAGCAATACCTTGCATCCCAGTGGAAACTCTGCTGGGGAAGCCAGGCTATCTAGTGGCAGGAGAGGGGATGGATTCCATGTCTGCCCCCTGCACAGACACCAAGCACAATACTTTTGGATTTCCTCATGTGAGCCAATATAGAACGTTCACCTAACTAGAAGAAAATAAATTGTGTACTCAAGGACACTGAAGGCGCAGGGATTAAACAGGCCTGGCAGTCCTGGTGTGCAGACTAGAAGCACAGTTTTGTCTGCGATCACCTTCACTGGACTGAAGTTCCTATTCTATCCCTTACAATTAGTGAGGGTCTGTGAGAAGCGAGCCTTCTCCTACTTGCATAGCTGCAGCCTTGGTCATGCTGCATTGGAAGGGCTGGAACCAGAAAAAGGTCCATTAAAGCAGCCATTAGCAACTGCAGTTCTCAGGGGCCAGTCCAGGCTCCAAATTGGTTTCAGTCCGGTACAAATTGCTCCCCACCTCCCAACACAGATGCTCCAGCAAAGGGACTTGCTGAGTGCTCTTTGGTAAGGTCACAAAGTACAGATGGCCTAACTTAATACCCCTTCTCAAAGTGGTCCTCTCTTACATCTAGTGAATGGGCCAGCACATTAAGGTGTTCCCTTTTGTTTCTGTCACAATTCACAATCTTCAATTCAAAGACATTTTCATCAAATTTTCAGTAGCCCAGAATCAAACCAGTTCCAACTCAGGACAGAATCTAGAATTAACTGCATTCATTTTGTTTCACCTATTAAGCTTTCATGTTGGTTTTAAGTTAGGGAAACTGAGTCACACAAATTGTTTAACACCTTCCATAACTAGACTGCTGAGAGACAGAGAGAGAGTGTTAGGGTGCCACCTAGTGGCCATTTTAAGAAAATGTGTAGATTGCAGTAGTGTTTCTCAAGTGAATTTTAGTTCTGCTTCTAAAGTCAAGTTATATTTCTTGGGCCACTCCCCATCCTAACACCCAGCCTGTGTTCTACAGAACAGCACAGCTTTCTGTATGATGCATCCATAGATCTGTGTATTGGGATGATACTTCTATGATAGAAATAGTAAAAGAAGAAAAAAGATTTGGCACCAGCCTGAAAAGCAGAAGCAAGGAAAAGTGAATTAGCTCTTTTCTGTATCTCTTCTCCTAAAGACAAAGCAGGATGGAGAAGCAGTGAGGATATGGAAGCTCAGCAGCAGAGCACATGCCTTGCCCACTATGAGCCCCATACTCAACTCAAACCAGAATTCAGGCACAACAGGAAGCCTCATTCTTAACATGAACTGCTAAACAAAATTACACTGTATTGTGCAACAAAAATTATAGATTAAACAAATAAACACATTAATAAAATTAACAAACAAATTTGTGTGTTTTAATAATGCTTTCGGTATTAAAAGTTGCTAAAAATGATTTATGAGCCTTTTATTTTCCTGATTGCTGCTTCTATCATATTCCATTGTTCACTGGTAACCTAGAACAGAAAAGAAAACATTTCAGTTAAGAGCATGACTTCAAGGTTTGTTGGTTAATTTTTTTTTAAATAATCTGGAAATATTATGGGTACAAACCAGCCAATGATAAACATTTAAAAGTCCATGGATAGCAGTAGGAGAGTTAACCATGTGCTTAAATGTTTCCCTGCAGAATCAGTAAGACTCAACAGCTCAACACTGCCCATAATTTAGACCAGGAGTCCTCAAACTTTTGAATAGCGGGCCAGTTCCGTCGCAGGCTGGTGAGGTGCCGTCGGGCACGCACAAGGCGGCATCGAGCACGTACAGCGGTGGCTCGTGTGCTCGGAGATCTCCCGGCGAGTCCAAATCCATCTCTGAGCAAGCAAGCCACGGCGCATGGGCAGTGAACAGCAGCGCGGGCCGGATGGATGGCCATGGCAGGCCGGATCTGTCCTGCGGGCCGTAGTTTGAGGACCCATGATTTAGACATTAGTGCTGATGCTTATGCTTCCAAAATGATAATGTAAAGCTTGCAGAAATTGAACATTTTGGGGTGGTGGGGAATCCTAAGGCTGGACAGGAGAAGGGGCAGGCTGGAAAGGATGAGACCAAACAGCCAATTGAGGACTGAGAATGCTAATTAGTCACTCAAAACTGTGAAGGGAAATAGAAACCTGGACAAGAGAGGAAGGGAAAGGAATATTTTGGAGGAGGCCATGGCTGAATAACTAGTACACTAAACAGGAACACTGTATATTGAAACATTTTGTTCTGAGTCCCACTTGTAAGTTATTACCTTACGTAGATCATTGAATTCTCCAGCCATAGACACATATTCACCCCCATCCAGTCTAATGACCTGCAGGTGTAACACATATTTATTATTACTCCAGCAACAAGATGACCAGTTTAATTCAAGATCAAGTTTTAGTTTGCTACAGCAGTGCAACAGGAATAGATTTAAAAATATTTAAGGCAGGAATATTGTTTTGTTGAACTGAACTAGATACCACCCCCCAAACCTTCCAGCAACTAGTATTTCAGGCTTCGGAGCATCCAGTGCCCTGCCAGCTGCTGCCAACCACACCCTGGCCTCTCCTCTTTCCTCCCATGATCCTTGAAGGCCACTCTGTGAGCATAGAAAGAAGCTGGTACTGTTCTTTCCATGGTGGTTGTGAGGGGGAAAGTGGGTGGGAATGGACTTAGGTGTCCCCACATTTCTTTGGCCTCAAAGGGGAGAATCCAGAGATTCTCAGGGATGCTCTGCAGGGATGATAAGACTGCTCTCCAATGAAATTGAAGAGTGATTCAAACCCACCTAATCCCATAGGCATTATGGACATTAAATTGCTTTAAAAGCACACAGTTGAATTGGGTTGTGAATCAGTTTTACAACAGTGAGGTTCATGCATCTCTAACCACTAGAAGCATAACTTACTGCTCCATTAACCCAGTTTGCATAATCACTACAGAGGTAGGTGGCAAGATTTGCAATCTCCTCTATAGTTCCCAGGCGGCCACAAGGAATTCTCTCGAGAATGATTTTCTCGAATGCACCTGTTGGGTCAATACGGCTGAAAGCTCCCTAAAGAAAAAATATTGAGAAAATGGTCACTATGATGCTCCACTGAAGTATTATATTTAATAGCCAAATAAACATAGCTAAATAGGCTGTATAATACCAAACAAGGAAATGTTAAGATATTTAGTAAAATAGAAAGTTTTCTGAAGTTTCCTGTCCTTCCCTCTTCTTTTTTTCTTTCTTTCCCATTTCTACATATTCATTGTTTTATAAAAATTAATTAGTAACAGTTAATGAACATTGATGCAACAGTAAGCAAACTTGGCAGTTTCAAAGTTGTGATTACCTTGGATGTGTGTGAGAATTCATATTTTTTATTTGTTCATGGAGTAAAATAAAACACAAACATGTAGAACAACTCAAACTAAAAATCACGTTTTCAATTCATCTGATTCTTTTTGCAGGTCAAATAAAACCAAAACTGGAATTCTTACTTAATTCCAGCATGTGAAACCAAAACTAAAACCATAATTAACTTGCTGTTTCATGGTCAGCAAACACCAGCTTCATTCCCTGAGCCAAGAAAAGTAGGAAATGTTTACTTAAGATATGACTTTTTCAATGCAGGGTGAAAAGACAACATGCAGTGGGGCAGCTGAAAATATCTGTCCTCTCATACAGTGGAACAGATACAATTTCTACAGGGATCCAAAGCATTTAATCAACAGCAGCTTTTAACAAAACTGGGAGTCAAGAACTGTAGCAGTCATTCCAACCATCCATTATTCTTTGGTTGTAAGGGCAGGGGTTTCTATAATCAGTAAACCAATCTCCTATTCTGCTCTCCTTCCTCCACATTATTTAGGATCCAGGGATGTGTTATTCCATTTTCCTAGTACATGGAATGGTTGTTCATTAGGGATTCCTTTGGTAAAATATAAATAGGTTTGCAGATTATAGCTAGTAAAGATAGCCTTCAGAATGTTGGTTTCTGTTATGGAGAAGATAAGTCAAATGCAGCTATACTTTAAGTGGAACAGAAGCTTGAAGTTAGATACTGAGCGTATGTGCTTTCAAGTTTCATTTAAATCAGTGACCTCTGTCTCCCAAGTGATTGCAAAGTCAGTCTGGTGTCCAAGTTAATTCTTAATGACTAAAAATGTACCTTTGTCTTTATTGGACCTGGCTGAATCACATTGAATCTCATGCCATATCTACCCCATTCAGCTGCAAGAGACCTAGAAATGCATGTAAAGATTTTGTAAGTATTCAGCTCATAATGATGGTAAATAATCCTTTAAAACAAAGATGTTAAAGCTTGCCTGCACCCACATGGCCATCTTTTCAGTGCCAGACTAAGATGTATCAGTTTTCCTAGGCTTCTGAAGTACTTTTAGTGTTCAAAATAAATTTAGTGGTATAAGGTTTTAACTCTGACAGTGAATTTTGTTTTTATATCCATATTATTTAATGCTCAGACTGTGTGCTTACTTTTATTGTGATTTTGTTGCACTACGTTTTCAGTTATTGTAAAATGCCTAGAGAAATCAGTGTTATTACATATTTAATAAATTCAAGAAATATAAGCATATGTACACACACACACTTTGGACTACTGCTTACTGGAGTACTCTGTAAAGTTTGGGATGGATTCCGAATAACATTTGGTGCTCTGAATCTTCCCCACACAGCCTCCTGTTTTCAAGTAATGTGGATACACTAAAACTTTAAAGAAATCCCACAACTTATAAAGTGAAGAATGGAACTGGACCAACAATAACAAAACCATAATGTATTATTGGGAAGGATGGGGTAAAAAAATGCCCTAAATAAATAAAGTATTTAAAGCTTGCCTTAAAAAAGCAGGGAAGGAACCAAATATTCCTCTTGGAGAGGGAATTACACAGATGTGACAGTAAGAATAATGTTTTAAACCAAAGGAGTGACAAAATACTCACTTGCACAGGGCTTCTACACCTGCTTTAGCAGAAGCACTTGGTGACACAAACCCAGATCCGCTTTCTGCATAGATTGTTGTAATGGCTAGAAATGCAGCTCCTGAAAAATTCAGAAAATAATTTCCACATAAAGCTTTTAATGTGTTGGAATGTAATATTTAGATTATATTTTGAAGTTAATTTAATTTCCCGCTAAACGAATATTTCAAATATGTTGTAGCTCTTGGGAAAACTTTTGATATATTTATACTATACATAAAATTGAGATGGATCATATATTTAGTCCTGTTTACTAAATATGAGAGATTTCATGTATTTATAATGAATAAAATGTGTTGGGGAATAAAAATGGGTCAAATAAGCATGCTAAATTAGATAAAATATTGAGAGTATTTTTTTGTAAATTGTTTACAAATCTGGGTTAAGCGATGAGTCCTACTCAATTCACAGCCAATGATGAAGTGATCCGTTCAAAGAGCAACACTCAGACAGCATTAGTTGTCCAAGCTGGTATTGAGCAAAACAGGCCAAGTTCCATCAATATGAACTTACCTTTTCGTGCTTTTATTAGCTCTTTCCCAATTCCCAGTGTTATATAGGCTGTGCCATTAAGAACAATATCAGTGATTGTCTTCCATGCATTTGCAGAAAGGCGTTCAGAGGGAGAGATAAAATTTCCAGCTGCATTATTGATTATAACCTGAAATGGAGAAAAGAAAACTTAGATCCATACTGGAATTGGTCATTTGCACATCTTTTCTTTTACGTTTAGAAAAGAAATAAATGAAAATAAAAAGTTAGCAAGGGATCTTGTACAGAAATTAAATATAATACTAAATGCAGTAAATAGCACAAAAATCGGTAACAATTATTATATCTACCAAATTTGTAACTACAATTTCAACATAATATTTACTTAAAATTATTCTTAATTAAGAGTAATAATTATTACATAAATTTTGCTTTGACATGGGTATCAAATAAAAATTCCCTGTACAACATATCCACAAACCTGGCACTAATTAAGAATTGATTTTTTTCTCTCTTTTCCCAGGTAAAACAATAACATGGTCCTCAGCACATTTAAGATAGACGTTGACAGTTTCAGATTCCAGCAGATGTTTAGGGGAAAAGGAACATTATCTCAAGCAATGATGGCAAAAAAACAAGAATAGAAGCAATGAAGAGAAAAAGGAAGTGTGCAATCAACCAGGTAAAAAAAAAATATTTGTTTTTAAAAGCTTGTATATATTGTGCACCCATTTCAGTATGTGATTGTCTAATTTAAAAGTCAAGTCATGTTATAACACACACAAAACCAGGCAGTGCAAGTTAATTATATGTGCAGTGCAGGTCACTTTCAGTACACTTCTACACTATCCTCCTCTAAAATTTAATGAAGATTTAACTACTGTAACTACTGCCTGTAACTACTGAACCATAAGAGAATGGATGAACTCTCTATATAAAGAAAATGTAATACAGAGTTCCTAACCAGCACTCATGTTTTTTTTTTAATAACCTAAATTAAACAACTGTGAACTACGAAACGGGACACGCAACAACATGTGGCAGTACGGCGTGCTCCTATTCAAAGTTCCAGCCTACCAGTAACAACCTCCCAGCCACCCACAACAGGTGGTCCTCAATCGATGCCAACTGAGCATGTTCAGTCCTCATCGAGCCGCTTGGGTTCCTAGTGGGTTCTTAAAATGTTTTCATACTTCTGTGAATTGTTGGATTCCCCAAAGCCCACTGGTACCTTTGTCTAGTAAATAGATGCTATTTCGGCTTCATATGAAATGGCAGATAATTGAATTTGCTATCATTATAACGTAAGAAGAGCCATGCCAAATCCAACCAAAGGCCCTTCTAATTTACTATTCTGCTTCCAAAACGGCCAACCAAAGCCTACAGAGAGCCCATAAAAAGGACATGAAAGCAATGCTGTGCTATAATCACTGCGAAAGAGTTGTTATTGGCCTGGTTTGCATATAATGCGACCCCACAGTTTATTTTACTAATAGTTTGTTGTCTGCCATAGATGATGGAACAAACTGTGGTTTGTTTTCTCAAGCCCCTCTTCTCCTTTGTAGCGCTGCAGTACTGACATGTAGAGTCGCTGGTTGTTGTGCTTTTTTTACAAATGCCAAAACTACTCATGGTTCTGGTCTGGTTTTTATAGGTATTACCATTGATATGGATATGCAAATGAATATTACTTTGAAATATAATACAACATTGTTTTCAATTGATGAGTTTTCTTGTGTTAAAGACTGTTTCTCTTTGTACACAGTACAGGATATTTTCAGTAAAGATTAATGAAACCTTCAAAGTACTTACACTAGGATGTCCAGCCAAATTGATTAATTGAGAAATAGCATTGCTAACAGATTCTGGATCTCTCACATCACACTGAATTGCATGAACCTGGATAATAAAGTATCATCAGTATCACAACTACCAGAAGCAGCAAAAAAGAAAGTAAGTACAACTTAATATGAGCTGTTCTATATATGCATAAGTGGTTTAAACTGCTGTGCTGGTTGATCGGAAAGTCACCGGTTCAAATCTGCACAACGGAGTGAGTTCCCGTCCCAGCCCCTGCCAACCTTGCAGTTCGAAAGCATGCAAGTAGATAAAAAGGTACCACTTCGGTGGGCAGGTAACAGCATTCCGTGCACTTCGGTGTTTAGTCATGCCGGCTACATGACCACAGAGACTGTCTGCGGACAAACGCTGGCTCCTTTGGCCAGGAAATGGAGATGAGCACTGCCCGCTAGAGTCAGGCATGACTGGACTTCATGTCAAGGGGAAACCTTTACCTTTATATATGCATAAAATTCTTACATTCAAAAATCATGTTTATGAAAACTGATTACAATTGTTAAATAATACCTTATTTCCTGTTTTAGAAGAAATTTCTTCTGCAGTTTCTTTTAATACATCAAGTTTCCTACAAAAAATCATACATTATATCTGAGTTTCCATTAACTGCTTATATCACCCACACTAAATTTAATGTAAACGATTAGAAAAAAATATGTAAGCAAAAACCCAAAACCCTTACCCACTGCAATATACTTTGTACAACATGATTACAGACTGTTTAATTGATTTTTCAAATAGTTCAGTCTACATAGTTCCTAAATGACAATTCACAACCATTGATGACTGAACTCTGACTTCTTGATTGAGTGTGCGATTGTATAATAAATCTGAATTACTGACTGACTGCGTGTACACATATGAAAGGCTACTGAAAGTTGTAGCTTTAACTTGAAAAGCCCATATTGTATAAAATGTAAATGGATGTATTTACCGACTTGCTATTACACACTCTGCTCCCAAATGAGAAAGAGCACTTGTCATTCCTTTTCCAAGGCCAGTACCACCACCTGTGATAAAGGCCACTTTCCCGTGGAAAGCATCAGGTGGCAACATCAATTTCTGAAGAGGTGGAAATGCAGCGGCTTGAGATGTGTCACCTTGATGCATTTGTGTTCCATTGCTAAAGAGCTGAAAAGAGAAAAGGAAATATTATATTGTATTCTTTGCTGGTAATATAACCTAAAGATAATTGCTGTGGTCTAATTACAAGAAACCCTACAGGGTTTATCATAGCAATATTAAGTTTACAAATCCACCTGTATAACACTTTCCAATGTTTGAAGTGCTTCATATGATGAATGCTTAAGATGGATCAGTGTTGTTATTCTCCATATTGCAGATGGGGAACTGAGGCTGAGAAAGTGGTTCATCAAAGGACATCTGGAGAGTTCATGGAAGAGGTAACAATTGAATCAGGGACTTCCTGACTTGCAGTTCAGTCTTATAACCACTACAATCTCCACTGTGCTTGTGCCTCCAGAGATTTTGGACTTCAAAACAGTGTCAGGAATAGTCAGGTATACTTAAAATTATAGCAGAAAATATATGGAAAGCACCAGGTTTGATCATGCTGTGCTATACTATATCAATTCTCAATGTACAAATGCCAACTTTTCAATAATCATTTTTGTGTATCAGCAAATAAGACTTGCCACATTAAAAATCTACAACACTTTGGAAAGGCAAATTTTAAAGAGGATTGTCATTTCTAAACTCTGGGTTCAAGATTTACATTCAAGCAGCCTAATCATAGGCATATCTGTTCAGCAGTAAATCCTAATTATAACATAAGCTTCAAACTAATTACTTTGGGTCACGAGTCTCTAACCGAGCATAATGGCCTGGTGGTAAATAAACTGTTCAAAGAATGTGACCTTCAGCATTGACACCAATAGTCACTCAAACAAATACAGGCTATTGCAAAAGATGGCAATGATGAATGGGAAACTTATGCTTAACACTGCTTCCAAAGAGCTGTTGATGCTTCCATAAAGCATCTGTACTGTCCTGGAATTTTAGACTTTTAACACATGTGAACAGCCAACATTAGCCTTCTCCCTATGACTCATCTCATGCTGCTTTGAAAATACCATATGATGCACCTTCCAATTTTGCAGGAAGGGGCTTTTTGTTCACTATATGTGCTGCCTGAGTCGATCCCGTCACGTAAATAAGCGCATGGGAAGGCGGAGAACTGTGACGGGAAAAGGACAACCCTCGGCTGCCGGGACGTTTCTGAAGTGACGATCTACAACACCCCCGGCAGGAAGCCAAGTCACCTCCTCCATTTGCTGTTCCAGAACGAGCCGGGAGCGCTTACCCTCACAGCCGTAGGAAGCACCCGGGGAACTACCCGACCCCATAACTCGCTTCTCAAAGCCAAAACCACCGCCATCTTCCGATCTGACTCTTGCAAACGGGATTGACTGGTGCAGGCCGAAGAATCGCAGAGGGGCGAAACCCACGAGACTCTCACGCGCTGGCCGCGCCCTCCGTGGCAGCCGGCAGGCAGGCAGGCAGGCCGCGCCCCGACCGGCGGCTGGAGGGCTCACGCCCCTTTCCTGGAACTCAAGAAGTTGCAGTCCTGAGAGTGGCGGAACGTGCTCGCCTCAGCTGGGCGGCGGAACGGAAAGAAAGCCCGGAACGGCTCACGATCGGAAGTCATGAATTTCGGATATGTGCAATGCAAACTCTTAACAACAGGAGTTGGGTTCTGACATGATATGAACAATAATGGAAACGAACGCAAAGGAGCCATACGTTTGAGAGTGTTCCTTTAAAAACACTCAGTGGAGATACAGTGGAGCTTGCACGCTGAATTAAGAAATTATGCATTAGAATAGACTTACACATTAATGCAGTCTTAGACACGTCTAGTCAGAAGTTAACCCCAATGACTTCAATGGGAGTTATTCCTAAGTGAGTGTACATTTTTTAAGGCTGTAATCCTGAATTCACGCACGATTTTGGAAATGTTAGTCATAGACTTACTGTGTTTAGACTGAGACACAGGGCAGGTTGCCTTTTCAAGAGATTTCCCCCCACCCGGAGGGGCGGAGAAAAAAGCCGAATTTTGCTTATTCATATTATAAGATGGCCTTCACCAGCTTATCTTTGTTCTTTCAAGACTTTTCTATCGCTGTCCCTATTTTTAAAGCCACTCATACCCACAATATTAGGTGTCTTAAGGGATTTCCCCTTCGCTATCCACAGGTGGTGCTGTTTTCTCCGTCTGGGCTCTTGCGGCCCGTCGTCGTGATCCGGATATCTATGGCCTCGACGAGCGCCGATTCTAGCAGCGCGCATGCGTATCGCGATGGGCGGGGCGGGGAAGTCCTGTGTTAGTGTCGGTAGCTGATTGAAGGGGAAGCGCGAAGCGACGGCGGTCTCCGCTCCCTCCGACTCAGGATGTGGAAACTGGTTCCTGCGGGCGACCCCGGGCCAGGTGAGGAAGGTAGGAGCGCGTATATACTTTGCGTCTGGACTGACTCCAGATTCCCGTATATCTACTCTGGGCTGACTCCGATTTCACCTCTGATTGCTCTTCTGCTTTTTCGCGTCGGTTAACTCAGCCTGGAGTAATTCAGTAGGATGGACCAGTTGAGAAAATGGCAATAGCGGTTAGTTATCTTTGAGGAAGCGGCGAAATCTCAAATGCCTTTTTATGTCCGCCGATTGGGTTCATACATGACATGCGCCCTTTTTCGTTACTGTTGACTGGGGGCTGTGTGTGTACATTCGGTATACGTGTGCTGTATTCACTATATATGTGTGTTTTTCACAGTGGAGCAACACAGCTGTGATGCGAAAGGATGCCACAGCCTCTGGTGCATGACTTAGTTTTTCTCATCGTGTCGTCTCAGGCTGATGAAAGATCATGTAGCTGAATACTTTTCCATACCGGCAGTATGTGTACGTAGAAAAGAGCATGCCCATGTGGAAAGCGTTAGTCTTGGCTTACAGAGTAGCTTTCATGTGCCAGGCTATGGGGTTTTGTTTTTATAGGAGAACATCCAAGATTGTGAACCCATCTGTAATCCAAAAGGGATACAGCTCAGTGAAACGTTTTTATCTCTGAATAAAGAGTTTGTACTTGGGATGTTGCCATTCTGAATGGAATTTGAAGGAATGTGCCATCCTGTGTACACTTAATTGGGATCAGTAGGTTAACTGAAACCTGTGGGATGTCATTCTCAATAAATGGATTTGAGCTTAATAAGAACCCCACAAGAATAGGGATGATTCTCACTGGGCTACAGTAAAAAGAAAGGACATGTTTCAAGGCACTGTTCTTGATCTACAAAGATTTACAAAGCTAGGGATGGAGATACTTGGCAAAGTACCCCTTCTAGTTCCTCTTTTGATGGAGATTTTGCTGAATCACAACACAGCGAAAATCTTCTCAGTGGTACTCCCTGCCCCGATTTTGGAACATTCACCCTAGTGAAGCCCACCTGGCACTGAGGGAGGTTGGAGACAGGTGGGAAATGGGAAACATTGCTTGAGAAACATCTTGTTCACCTTTCTTCCCTTGCAGCGTTAATGGTCACTCCCTAAAATAAATGACTTCATTTACAGGTTCTTTTGAGGCAGTTTGTCCTTAAATTATATGCCCCTAGGGTAAGTAAAATTTAGACAGCTGTGTTAATCTGTTACACAGTCTTGTTTCAACTTAAATATTAATATTTTATAATGGTCTGAAGTTAATCCAAATCTTGATAATTTGAATGTTTATGCAATTTAACTTTTAAGATCTCTCTGTAATAATGACTCAGTGGGATGGAGATCCTTTGATGTTTTATGAATTGTAGATTTTCTACATGAAAGTTGCTTTTGAGTAAGCAACTAGATGAAAACAGTGCATTGGTGGTCATATTTGACATTTATACATATGGTGTTCTGATTTATTTATACCATACTTTTTTTTTCTTTTGCAAGGCACCCATGGTAGCATTTTCTTCCTCTCCAATTTATTCTTACACATCAGCCCTATAAGATAGGTTAGGCAGAGAATCACTGATAGGCCCAAAGTCACCTAGTGAGCTACATGGCCAAGAGGGGACTAGAACCTCAATCTCCTAAGCCCAAGTCCAATACTCTTGCCACTATCATACTGGCTTTCACTTGCTGCATGTACAGCTGGTGTCCACACACTGAGGTATTGCAGATAGTTACCTATAGGTATAGAGAACAGCCCTACCTATCTTGCCAAATAGGTATAGAGAACAGCCCTCCTCAACCTGGTGTTCTCCATATAAATTGGACTGCAATTCCTAACATCCCTAGCAGCATGGCCAATGGTAACGCTGTTCAGGAATAGTAGGAGTTGAGGTACAGCACATCTGGGGGATACCAGATTGGGGAAGGCAGATACGGAACATTGTGAAGTCATTGGATGTGATGAGTCTTTAAGCTTCACATGGCCTAAACAGATGTGGGCTTTGTGTAAGCAATTCTTAAATGTACAAAGAAGGTAGTGGCTGTGCTTAGATGATCATATCACCATGTCCTCATATTACTTAGATATGAACAACTCTTCTGAACCCCCATGCAGCCCATTTTGATTTTCCTTTTGAACAAGGAGTGAAGAAAGGGCATTTCAACAGCAATCTGGAAGTGAGAGCCATATCCATATAGCTAGTTAAATACCTGTGACAAACCATATTTTTATAAATTCCATGAACAGGTAAGATGTCAGATTCTAGTTCACAGACCACCTCTTTTATTCAATTGTCCTTAAACATGTAAATGTTTAGACTAAGTTTTACCACTCTTTCTTCTAAGTATGGAGGGTTGTTCTTTTTCATTACTTGTTTTAGTGGATTTAAAAGTAATATATTTTTAAATTTCAGGACAGATATACTGGCTTTTAGTTGGTGTGGAGTATGATGTTGGACGCAAGAACTGTGCGATTTTAATTCAAGATGATCAATCAATCAGCCGAAAGCATGCAATTATTTCTGTTAAACATCCACAAGCATACCTTGTAAGTACTGTGCATTATGAATTAATAGGGAAAAACTCTTCCGTGAACCCTAACCATATACAGCAGTTACAGAATATATCATATCAATCAAAATACAATGCCTGATAAAAACCATAAACTCAATAAACCTCACTAATAGATTTGCAAACTATTTTAATATAGTTTTAAAACAATTCACCAATACTGCACAATGACCTCAATCAAACAACCTGACAATTCACCTTAATTCACTTAACGTGTTGTATATATTGTAGCTTCCCATGCTATGCAAATCTGGTGAGAGTTGATGGTTGGCATGGTAAACAAAACTGCAACTCAGCTTAGGGTTCTGGATGCTTTATTAGTCATATCAATAGCTCACCATCTCTGTGTTCACATGACAGAACAAGCCATAGATTTCAAATGCAAAATTGCACCCTGCATATATCACAAATAACCCATGTAATAACCCATGGTCCCTTGTAGTGATGTGTAAACAGGCCAAGTGCTACAGTTGCATTTGGCCTTGGAACCATTTGTTTTTTCTGCTAAATGCAGTTTGTTATGACTGAAGCAGAACAAAATGTGACTAGATCTAACTACAGTTTGTCCAGCTCCAGTCTATGGTTTACAGTTCATTCTTGTTTAGATGAACCATCAGTAAAGCCACCGTTAGGTGGTTAGTTGAAAAGCAGATTCCTCTGATCTCCTCCTCCTGCTAGAGGAGCAGAAATATTGTAGGACATGCCAAAGTATGTAAAATGAAATTATGGTTTAGCTTTATGTTTGAACTAGGCCTAATTTAACAGGATTTTATACTAAATGTGTTTTCAGTAAGTATATAGCAAGTGAATAAGGTACTTATCAGAGTTAATGTTAGAAACAATAGAGGCAAGGTATTGTTTCAAGTTTCTGACAGTAAAAACTCACAAAAGTGATGAATATACCATAGCATAACTCTTTAAATGTATGCTTCTGATGTGAACATGAAGCATGTCAACTTTAGGATCATTTGCAAGAAAAAGCAAAATTATTTTAAATTCTGTGAAACTAAATCCTGATTCACTCTAATGACTACTGCAGAATCATGGTCTGCTGCTACACCATTCTGTACTGTTCAAGTAAGTTAAAATGCTATGTATAGTTACTGGCGGGGGCAGGGGTTACCAAGATGTTCGAAAGAGTAGCCTTTTAAATACTAAGGAAAACATGTTGAGCATGCAGAGTTATAGTGCTTTCAATGTTTCACTGAAGATATATTTTTATTTTTACTAATAGTATGGCTAGATGCTTTTGATATCTGAAATACTGTGTTTTCAATTATTAAGAGTCAACCCACTTCATTTTCTGAAGTAACATTAAAAGACACCTCCAAATATGGTACCTTTGTCAATGAAGAAAAACTACCAAATGGAACTGCCACAATATTGAAATCAGGTGACAGGATCACTTTTGGAGTCTTTGGCAGCAAGTACAGGTATGATCAGATTTTGCTCAAGGAAAACTCTGAGCTTGGTTCATAGTTTGAAAACTATAGAATGTTTCCAAGGAAGAATTAAAAATGGAAAATGTAATTTTTAATTGTAAATCTGACAAAAGCTTTGAAATCCCTTGAATTGGTATATTTTTGTACTGCTTGACTGATTAAGCTTTGGAATATCTGTCTAGGAAAACTAAATATTTAATCTTTCCTCCAGCTCCTCCCCGCCCCCCTTTGTTTGCTTACCCATTGACAGTGTTATAAGCCATGTGGATTTGGCTTTATCTTTGACTCCTCTCTTTCTCTAGTTCCCTATATGCAGTGTGTAATCAATTGGTGTTGCTTTGCTTTTTGCAATATTTTAAAAAATGCAACTTTCTCTCTTCCCTTAGAAAGATCTCTGCTCCATTCCCTGCTCATCTGTCATCCACCTCACTGCCATCTTTTCCCCTACTTCTATTGTATTACTTTGGTCCCCTCACATCTCTGCAGCAGTAGGGTGCCAAAATCATTAATTTCCCTTGTGACCCTGGTCATTTGATACATCATCCTTGGATTCCTGTAGCTTCCTATCAACTTGCAGTTTCAGCACAAAGCCTTGCCCTTACTTTCACAACTTTCCATAGTCCTACACTTCCATATCTCTCCTTCATAGCCGAGTGCAGAACTTGGGTCTCGCAAATCCCACTCAGGGACTCTAACTGCTAGATTACATTGTCTCCCTGAGCCAAAAACATGCAACGGAGGCAAACACAGTTTTTGGAAGGTTAATCCTGCCTTCTCTCACCTGTGTAGAATATTGGAATATAAGGTCCTTGGGGAAGGCATCTGGCCTTGTGTTCTCCGTAAAGTGTGATGAACACTGCTGGTGCTTTATAAATAATACAGTTTATGTTTTCCACTACCCAGAGTTGAATATGACCCTTTGGTTGTATGCTCTTCATGCTTAACTGCTTCACAGAAAAGTCTTTTAAATAAAAATATTCTGCAACTGGGAGGCCATGTAGTGAATGAGTGGAAAGAAGAATGTACTCACCTTGCTATGGCTTCAGTCAAAGTTACTGTGAAGGTAAGTTTTGTGTGGGAGTGCACATATGCGAGCCTAACATGGCTTCTTTTGAATGCTTTGTTTCAATAACATTCTCTTTCTTAGTAAATGTAACAATATTACTCTGTTTCTTCAACTCACTTTAATATTTCATTTAAAAGCAGAGGTTTTCTGGCAGCAGGTCCTGTAGTATTGTAACATTTTTTGCAGAGGCATCAGGTTTAGGTATTGTATAAAGAAACTAACTTACAGTGCAATCTCACTCCAATTTACTGGAAAGTGTTCCTCTGTGTTCAGTGCAGCTTATTTCTATGTGTGGGCATAGAATTGGAGCCTTAGATAGCCAGTGAAATAGCTGTCTCAAGTAGGTGTGGAGTGGAATAAGGAACAAAGAAAGGAAGAAAGACTACTATTTTTAGCATACTAGTAGCTGCCATGTACATGTGTTTTAGGGTGCGATTCAGTCTAGATGCTTGTAACCCTCTGAACTTGGAGGATTGCAGGCATTCTGCACAGGGTGGAAGGAGCATAGAAGCAAGCGACACCCCCATACTCCTTCCACCGTAGTTAACTGATGGCCATTTTGGCTATCTAAATGTTGCACTTCAGAGTGTGAGAGAAGACTGGATTACCACCAAGAAACTTTGTCTCATGGCAGCACCTGTTTCCTCCCCTTCCATTGTTATGCCAGGTAATCTTGAGGAGCAGCACACCTCAAAAGGAGGTGCTTGCCTGCCAGATTGCCTCAAGAGATCTGGGATCTTTTGCTGGTTCTGCCAGAGATAGTAAGCTTTGGTTTTCATTTACACAAACACACAGCACTTTCAAAGGAAAGGAAAGTTTATTCAGCAGAAAATATAGCGTGAGCACAAGTTTTTAACCTGATGCTGTCTAGACAGGAAATATTCCTCTTGCATCCCAATCTTTTCCTGTATTTCTAAAGAGACAACTTCCTGTGTAACAGAGAGTAAGCTGACGGCGGGGGCAGAGTGGAGAGAATGAGAAAAGGAGTCCATTACCAGTCCTGCAGGTTAAAATCTCTACAGTAGTCCCATGTGTGGGCAAGAAGGGAGCAAGTTCTGTCTTCAGAGCTGGCCTCCACTTGTGTTGGGTCAAGAGTTCCCCCACCCCCATGTTCAGAATGTGCCTCATTTTTGTTCTAAGTCCCGATCTTTATACTATTCCTTTCTATGTGTGGCTATCTGAAAGATGAGTTTCCCAAACTAATGCTAATTGTTGGAAGGGTGCTTAATTGCTCATTGATGACCTTAACTCTTGTTCCTCTGTGGTACCTGACCAAGCATGTCTACTTTCTATGAGTCTTTGGCTGTGTTGGCTGATGATGAAGTAATTCCCAGGTATCTCAGGACAATGGGTCATCCTCCTTGCAGAGTTGTTCCCTCCAAGACAAAAGTCCAGCATTCATTTTTATCTCACCCTGGCTAGTCCAAGATACTAAGTCCTTCTTCCTGAATTTAAGCTTATCCAAAATGGTTCATGGTCTGAAAAGCCAGTTCTGGCATTGGAACATATTGTTATGGTGCTAGTATTGGCATATGCTTGTTAGTATTGAGTCCCCTTGGAACTCTGGCTCAACCCCATGTCGGAGGTTAAGCACCAGTACGGCTCTTTCTGGGCTGCCTGTGAGCACGAGGCTCTCTGAGCTCAAAAAGTCAAAATGATCTTCTGACCCCACAGCTGGATCTGCCAAAATTCCTATGGCCACCCAGACAGCATCTAGCCGCTACAAGACTGTTACTTTGACAGAAGGATAATTGAGGCAAAACCTGGATATTCTATCCAAGAGCATTGCAAACATTTGGATTTTAAGGAGACTATTGATAGTAAGTGCAGTTTCAAGAATCAGAGGAAAGGTCAGATTGTATTGGCTAGGAATCTGGGGAGAAATGTTATAAGGCACAGGAATAAAGGAGCTGCATGATTCAAAAGCTGAGGGATTTGTGGGTATCAGAGGCAAATTTATTATATTGGACTACTTCTAAGAAATAATGAAGCAGTGAGAATAGTATCCATGGATGATGGTAGTGAATATCCATATAAATATTCATATTTTTATATTCCAGTGCCTTCACTGACATATCCACTGTTTAACAGAATACCATCAACCTGTGGAAAGGGGAGTGTTAGGGACATAAAAAAATGCAGAGGTAGAACACTGTGTTAGTACTGCTTTGTAAATTGTGTGAGTAATTTTCTGCTTTATTTCTAGACAATATGTGCATTGATTTGTGGTCGACCAATTGTGAAGCCAGAGTATTTTGCTGAATTAATCCAGGCAATTCAGGCAAAGGAGCAGTTACAAGGGCCTGAAAGGTAATAGCTATAAGTTTAAAAATCTCTAGGGCAAATGCCAGACTAGGGAAAAAGACACTCTTGCTCACTGTCCCCCTCACCCCATTGAAGTGGTATCTGCAACAGGTTTTCATTACAGGGCTTCTATGAGCGTGGCATTATTAATGGGCTCTTAGTTTTTATGGATAGGATATATACAAACATTTAAAAACAAGAACCTGCACTATGAGTTTTAGATAGAACCAAATGTAACCAGTAGAGCACTTGAAAAAGTGGAGTGGTATTATTTTGGTTGTAGTGGCCTTTCCCTTTTGCATAGTAGGTGGATTTGCTAAGGTGGCCTAGGTGCTTGTGGAACTCAACAGATTAATGAATGCTCTTGGAGTTTCCAGTTGGCATGGCTGGCATGATGATTTTTGGCTGATCAGCAAGGACTTCAGACTTCCAGTTGTTCAACAAGTTCAACAAGCAAGAAGTTAAATGTTTTCCCTAACCTCTTGACTAGATTGTGGATAAAACAGGAGTGGATTTTCTGTGAAGGGAATTGTGCGCTTGATTAAATTCCAGGGCTGAGCATGCACTCAGTTGCAGTCCTGTTCTTATTCTTAACATAGCTTCCAATTGATAGTTTGCACCTGGCATGGCTCTTGAAGGTTCTAGTAGCAAATAGAACACATCCTGTATAAGCCATTCATGCCATTCTAAAACAGAGAGACTTATATGACATTTGATCTAGAATTAAAGCTAAAATTTATATTGTCTCTAGAAAGGGCTTGGTATTTGAACTGAACTGCTCCTACACTTCTAATTTTTATTTGTTCATCTCAGTTGTTTCTTAAACCAATTAACTGTTTTTAGTAAATACGTTGTGCGCAGTGGGTATATCATGTGAAACACAACTTTGGTTTTTTGTCCTTGGTAATATATAGCTCATACTGTAAATATAGTAGTTGTCTTTGCACTCATGTAAGAAGGAAGCTGTGTACAAAAATATAGGGAACACTATGCAGGTTCAGTAATGCCTAGATCAGTGATTGCGAACCTTTTAGAGACTAAGTGCCCAAACTGCAACCCAAAACTCACTTATTTATCGCAAAGTGCCAACACTACAATAAAACAAGAAAACTGAGGTCCTAGTTTAGAAAAACACCTCACAGTCAGTCCAAGCAAATACATATATGTCCTTGGCAGCACACTGACCGGCCATGCGAAAGCTCAGACGAGTCGCAGCTGATGAGATGCAGCTCGTGACATCATCGCCTGGTGCCATTTCACCTTTCCGAGCATGCACATGGCCCCTATGTGCGCTGTTATCTGATGCTCGGCTGCTAGTGCGATGCTGGGACGACTTGGCTTGCGTGCCGACAGAGAAAGCTCTGCGTGCCTGCTGTGGCACATGTGCCATAGGTTCGCCACCACTGGCCTAGACTGTAGCTCATGATTTCCATTGGGATAGGGAGGAAAAGCAGCATTTTATTGCTAAGCCCATGTGCAGAGGCACATGACCTAAGATTTTACAGTATAACCATATCAAACTAGATATTGGTTACAGAGTAAAAGATACGCACATAGGGTAAGTTTGAGGAGTAAGGGGTAAAAGTACCTTCCTTCTTGGCATTCAGTTGTAATGTACTCATAAAAATCATTTCATGCCATTCATTAATTTTATTTTTAAAATGAAAGCTAGTTTACTGTACTTTAAAATGCAAGTTACATTTTTATTGCTGTTTCATCTTTTGCAGGTTTTATCCTCCAATTGATGAACCAAGTATTAAGAGTGAGAAATTAGATCTTAATGTTTGTCCTGGAAGAAAAACTATCTTCAGAGAGAAAACATTTTTGTTTCTGACAGCTAAGCAGGTAATTTGCTCTGTGTCAAAAAGAATTCTAATGTATATTCATTTACAGAAGTTAAACCACAGATTAATTGTATTTATTCACCTGTTTCATCTGATATATGCATGTAGAAGCTCCGTGTGAAAAATGAGAAATAGGCCCGTGCTGCTGGCTTGGCTTCTTAGTGTCCCTCAATGACTACATGGGTGCTGTTCACACACAGGGAACCCTGTTTAAATGGAGGACCTGCATGGGCTATCCACTCATGTGGGAGTGCCCTGTTCTCAATGTGCAGATGTTGAGGTAGTGGAGCCAGGAAGGCCAGGAAGTGATGTGTGTACCAGTAATGTGTCCCTGCTGCCTGTTGTTCAGGTGGAGCCCATACATCTGTTTAATAAGGAAAGTGGGCTGTACATAAGAAAATGAATTTCTGTGTCCTTTTAAAGGTAGATAATTAATCTGATGTTTTGACTAATAACTGCACACATGCAGCATTTCTAATCCAGGTTCTTGAACCCAGCAGAATTTTGAACTTGAGCCAATTTTGTACTTTTAGTTTATTTAGAGTGATCTGTTGAGCTACATTCATATAAGCAAAGGCAATTTGGCATAGAGATGTTAGAAATAAGTAGAAAACAGGCTGAAAGACCATTGTCTCAGCGGCTTGTTCTCATGCCTTGGTGTGTAGTGAAATCAGAAATGGACTTCTTCCCATATCTTCCTGTTCCCATTGCTAAGTGTACAAAATAGTGCTCTGCAGAATGCCTCTGACTTACCTATCTAGATAAAGAGGTCCAAAGTTGCAGGTTTTATCTTTTTAGGGTGCAAAACTTTGGAAGTTAGATACTGTCTAGATAGGCATAGGATAGATTGGAGTCCCAGCTCTGACCTTCAAATGTGTCCTGAGGTCAGAGCTGGGAGTCCGACCGCAAAGTACCCTCCCATTTTCCTTACAGCTGACACCAGTTCTTTTCATGCTGTTGTGCAACTTTGGAGCTGGCACAGTGGGAGATACTTGAGGAGGTGGGCAGAATTGAGGTTCTAGCACTCATGAGCAGGTTCGAAGGACATACTATTACTTTTGCTGTTCTGAAGGAGTGTGGATACAATGCTTCCCTCCGTAGTCCTTCCATCCTGAGTTAGATGCTCATCATTCTCAGGGTTTAGAGAGTTATGGCAACTTCATTGGATTGCTCCTTAACTTATCTTTATAGAAATATAATGGGATAAACTAGAAGAAAACATTGAAATACTAATCTTTGTAATTGTCATTTTTGAACTTGAGTAACCCTTACATTACTTGCCCCTGTTTTACATTCTGAAATTATATTATATTATAATTTATACTATAATATAATATAGAATATTATAGAAAGAAGTTATACTAATATAAGTTATGTTGTTTAAACTGTGGGTTTTGTATTCAATTTTAGTATGCAAAACTGAGTCCAGCAATTAAACTTGGAGGAGGAGAAGCAAAGCTGATAACAGAGGAAGCAAAGGATGTTGCTTCTTTGATAGCAGCTGATGTGTGTGTTGTTGAAGTAGGAGCCACAAACTCTCAACCAGCAGTTTCTGAGTTGGAGATGAAGTTGATTGCTACAACCACAGCTGCCTTGCAAAGGTGCAGTAGGATTGCCTATGACTAAAATATGAATGCTGAAGTCTTAGTAACTGGATACTCTTCTAGATTGCTTTTTTGAACAAGGAGCTACAAATAATTAAGGATGCTGTAATACAAATGGGGGACTGCAGGTGGCACAGTGGTTTAAATCGCTGTGCTGCTGGGCTGGTTGATCGAAAGGTCACCAGTTCGAATCTGCACAATGGGGTGAGTTCCCGTTGCTCCGTCCCAGCTCCTGCCAACCTTGCAGTTTGAAAGCATGCAAAAGCAAGTAGATAAAAAGGTACCACTTCAGTGGGCAGGTAACAGTGTTCCGTGCACTGTGGTGTTTAGTCATGCCGGCCACATGACCATGGAGACGGTCTGCGGACAAACGCTGGCTCCCTCGGCTAGGAAACGGAGATGAGCACCGCCCCCTAGAGTCAGGCATGACTGGACTTTAATGTCAAGGGGAAACCTTCACCTTTAATACAAATGGGGGCAGAAATATTGTGTATTTCTAGTCAATTAGATTTAATTCAACAAGTAATTTTCTCTGAGGTAGTATAAGATTTTTTCATTGCATGAAACTATGTGAACTGGTGAATTTCTAAAAAGGTGTGCTCTGGTTTAATAGGACTTCTGTGAAATTCTCGTGGATCAACCTTTTGTGGTCAAATATACCCTGACAGTGCGGGGTGGGGGGGAATGTAAAATTGAAGTCTTCCACAGCTCCACATTCCAGAGTTTGATGAGATTTAACTTGTCATATGGTGTTCTACTGAACCCCATTTTTAAATCTAGTGAAAAGTGTATGTGTTTTCACTCATACATTTGGGATCAATTGTATCCTATTGGCTCCACAACCTGCAGAGGAGCCAACTGTTGGTTTGGGGCTAAAAGGACCCACTCATCATTGTTCATGTGCAGCAGCCCATTGGTTTTTAAAGGGTTGATGTGAGCATCCTGAAAAAATACATTTCTAATAGACCTAGATCTAGAAGAGTTTTAACTGTTGGTTACGCCTAGGAACCTAACCAGCTTACCTGGGATGTCAGAAGGCAGCCTCAGAACTCGTAGGGCCCTGGCCCCGCTGACCTCAGTGGAAGGCAACATATCATCAATATAGGTGACACAATGACCGAAAATCACTTACAACAATATCCTTTGTGTAACCGTTTTGCTCACTTCATGAAATTATAAAATGTAGAGATTGTGCATAGGTTGCTTGCCATAGTTGTAAATAGGAAAGTAAGTCAGAACTCATGATTATTTCATTGTGATACTTAGCTGACTACAGTATGAGTGATGTACATTTATAGTGCAATATGAATTGAGCTTTAGAAAATGGTGGGATCTCTCTCTCTCTCTCTTGCACATTCATGTGCACCCCCCCCCACACACACACTTCCAGTGATCCCTCTTTGCAATGTCATTACTGAAAACTTTAAAATAAAGCAAATGATGGCATGTTAATACTGTCTCTCAGGCGTTTTATCTTGGGAAACAAATTTAACTGACCCAACCAGATTAGAACAGTAAAAAGCTTGTTCAATTTAGGGTTCAAAGTTTGGGAATGGTGCCTTAACATCACAGATGGGTGCAGTTTGATATTCTGGAAGCTGCGCTTCCAGGGCAGGAAATAGCACAGCTTCATAGTATTGTGCTTCGCTAGCATATTTCTTCAGACTGGCCTATGCTGCAAGCACATTAAGGCTGCACTTCAGAAGGACTTGTGCCTGCACATGTGCATTTCCCTTCAAGCTGCAATGGAGAAAGATGACCTGCCATGCTTCTTGTATGCTGTGCAATACCCTCTGGGTTCTAGCTGAATTATTTTGCATTCTGGGTGGAGATCTATTTCTTTGCTGTAATTTTTAAAAGCAAAATTTTGAGGGTATAGTTAAGTGAATTTGCAATTGTTTTGCTGCCTTTGTTTCTAATAGGAAGAAATATAGAATAATTTCAGAAGCTGAAATTGGGTTAGCAGTTATATTTGCATCCACAGAAAGATACTGTAATCCTCAAGCTGCATGTGAAACAGGTAAAGTCATTATTGTATTTTGCCTCTGTTGTCTTTACTTTAAGGAACTGCATTTAGCAGATAGCTCTAAAGATCGTACATATTGAAGAAAATGCTTCCTTATAATATGTGTCCTATATTATTGATTAGCCTTTATTGTAAGAGCATAAGAACAGTCATGCTGCATCACACCCATGGCCCATCCAGTTCAGCACTTCATTCACACTGTGATAAACCAGCTGCCCACAGGATCTCTCAAGCAGGATGTGTACAAGAGTTCCAGCTACTGAAGCTCCTCAGCAACTGGTGTACGCAGGCACACCAACTTTGTTAATGGAGGTAGCACATAGCCAACAAAGCTAGTATCCATCGATAACCTTCTTCCACATGAATGTGTCCAATCACTTTTTAAAGCCATCCAAATTGGTGGCCATCACTACTTTCTGTGGTAGTGAATTCTGTTGCTTAACTATGCACTGAAGAAGTACTTGTTATCTGTCCTGAATCTCTCACCAGTCAACTTCATGGGGTGACCCTGGGTTCTGGTATTATGTGAGAGGGAGAAAAATGCCTCACTCTCCGCTTTGTTCACACTATGCATAATTTTAAACACCTCTATTTTGTCAACTCTGTGTCTTTCCTCATGTGGTGATCAGAACTGTTCACAATATAAAATTTCCCCACTGTTTACATCCTTCCATTGAAAGAAGTTACCATTTATCCCCACTCTCCACTTTCTGTTTTTCAACTATTTTAACTAGTTACTGTTCCATAAGAGTAGCCAACCATTCTATGATTGCTAAGTTTGCTCAGGAATCTTTGGGGAGCGGTTTGTCAAAGGCCTTTTGGAAGGTCAGGTAAACTGTATTACCTGATCTCCACTTATGACACTGTCAGAGAATTCTAATAGAAGAGCTGTGCTGGATCAGACTAAGGGTCCATCTAGACCAGCATTCAGTTCCATGGTGACAACCACCTCTCTGTGGGAAGCCCATAAGTAGGACATGAATGCAATTGCGCTTTCTTGGTCATATGCTCCAGCACCTGCTGCACACAGGTAACTGGTATATTTCTGCAGTGCAGCTTAAAGCAGTGTAACGATTAAAGAATCATTGAAAAATATTCCATAATCTAGGCTGCCCTTCTGGGAAGACTCAACATCTCTAGGTACCCTTCTCTTCATGCACATATATACCAGGATATCACAAACTGCCTCTGAGCCTCCTTTGAAAATAGTTTAACTTGCAGCATGGTTGGGTTGTTATCATGGAAAGGATGAACCGTATGCCCTGTTAGGCATGTGGAACTGTGGATAGTTCTGGGGTGTGACCCTTTCCAGCTTTTGATTTTTGTATTCAGTTTCTATCCTTTTTTGAAGCTGGCTTTAATAAAAACCTCAATGATGACTACAGCAACTAAAATCTCATTGTTGCAATAACATTAGTAGAAAATAAGCAGTATAAATAATAAGCATTCATATATGAAGAATAAAAATTTGTTTCTCACACTTTGATAGAACTGTTCAATAAAATAAAAGTATATATATAACATTTAAGGTTTTTTGCTTAAATTTTAAAGTGCAGCATTTTAGTAAAATATGAATGAGGCCTGCACACTGAAGATTTAAAGGCCGCTATAGATATATAGATATCCTGGGATATATATTTATATCCTGTTGGGCTTTCAGGGAAGTGAAAGTAGCAAATGTGGTTCTTCCTTCTCTGTAGGCACACATTTTCTTCAGTGAGATAGACTAGGTTCTATCCTATGGAGAGGACTGGACATACATGTAATAATATTACATAATTTAAGACTACCTGAAGATTGTTTTAGTTATTTTGTTATCTTTTGGAACTGTGATAAAAATGGCATACATGGTTTTGAAATCCTAAAATTCACTCTTCCTTGATGTTTTTAACTTCCAGATATAAAACCTGCTACTTCAGCATCAATAGTTCAAGAATCACACTTTTCTCAGAGATCAGTAGTGAATGAAACTGCAATGCCTGCTGCCATCAGTGAGCTCAGTATATATGTAGCGGACACAGAAATGAATGAGGTGCTGGGCACATGGTAAATTATTATTTGGATCTCTTTTGAGTTGCTGTTTATAAAGATTATTTCATAAGCAAATTACCGTCAGTGTTACTATGATGTCCTTATTTTCAAATGGAAACTTTCACTAGGCAGCCGAAAGTGGACAGATTCTTTGTTGCTTTAGTTTCCTTCTAAAGGCAGAGACATCTTATTTACAGCAATACCCTCTCCACTGCACCTGCCAGCCTTTCTATTTCTAAATATTTTGTGAGACCAGTGCACAGAATTTTCCAATCTGTTAATATTGCACTATCTGTGCACATACTTATATCTGTGTTGCTTTTTAGCCTGAGCTGTTCTGGTGCTGCTTTTTTGAGTGTTTACCTAAGCAATGCACATATAAGAAGACTCTCTGTCCTGTATTCAGTACAATGTTCTGCACAGTGGTAGCCCTAATTCATGCACACTGAAAAAACTGAATTCTATACTCTATGTGCATATGATGTATATTCATACGTTTGGGTTATTTATTCTGCTTTTGCTAATCAGGGGAAGTGTAGTGAAGACTCAGTTTGACCAGTGGGAATCTTAAAGCACAGTAATCTTAAAGCACATGTTAATTTTTAAAAATGGAAGCTGAGAGTCTCAGAGAACTGAACTTCTAGTGGCTACAATGGCTATGATTGGGCTATATCCACTGATGCAGGAAGGTAGGGTATGAATGATATAGTTAGAACTGCATTGTTGTGAACTACTTAAGAGAATGCTGGGAATTGTAGAACTTTCTTCTAGTGTGTTACTGTATAATTTAGTTGTTGCAGTCTTTTGGATTTAACATTGTATGCTAAATGTTGTATGAAGGCCGCCATATTTAAAACCATTCGTTGTACATGTTTACTGAAACTAGTGAACTTTAACATTTTAATCTTGTGCATGTTTATTCAGATATAAATTCAGCTTTAGTTGAATAGGACTTACTTTCAAGATAAGTGGGTGGATTTCAGCATACATTTTTAAATAACAATGTGAAGCTAGGGATCTTTGCAATGTTCCAGTTTTGGGCTGCCTTAAGTGACTGTTTTTATGTGGTCGCTGTTGGCGTTTTTAATCCATATGGGGAGGATCTAGTTAATAGATGAAAATCAAAAGATGGAACTGGGTCATATATACATAGGGTTGGGTATATTCTGTGATTCCACAAAACTATTAGTAGCATCAAGTCAGCTTTTAGCTACTGTCCGCATACCAGATGATGGCTGAGGAAAATGTCCCATTCCCAAGTAACTTCACATACCTAGCCGTACTTTAAAGGTATGGGAATAACTAGAAGTCTGAGATGTTTCTGACACTTCCATAGCTGCGATATGCATTCTGCATTCAGCCTGAGATGACAGGCAGCAAGGGGGCCGCTGCAGAAGAGGCGAGGGCCAGGGCACGGCCACCCACCACCACCAGGAACACACGGCGGCGGGTGATTGTTGTTGGGGACTCCCAGCTGTGGGGCACTGAGGCAGCGGTGTGCCACCCCAACCTGGAGACAAGGGAGGTTTGCTGCCTGCTGGGCGCACGCATCCGGCATGTGAAGGACAGAGTGGAGCATCTTGTTCAATCTGGGCGTCACCAGCTGCTCTTGGTGATCCATGTGGGCACAAATGACGTGGCCAGGCAGGGTGTGGTTGGGATCACCAGGGACTTTGAGGCCTTGGGGAAGAAACTGAGGGAGCCAAATGCCCAAGTGGCCTTCTCGTCAATTTTACTGGTCTGGGGATTTGGGCCAGGAAGGGACAGGAGGGTCTCCGAGGTGAACGACTGGCTTAGGGTGTGGTGCCAGAAGGAACGCTTCAGGTTCCTCGACCACGGCACTCAGTTTCTTGCCAATGGACTTCTGGCAAGGGACGGGTTATACCTCACGAGGATGGGGAAAAGGTCTTTTGGAGATGCTCTAGTGAGCTTCATCTGGAAGACTTTAAACTGAGCTGGGGGGGGTTCAGGCCCCCCAGTAACGTGTCTGCACTGGACAAGTGTGGGGAGAGGATCAGAGCTCTGGGAGCAGGGTTTTAGAGATACTGCAGGGACTGACAGGACTCCTGCAGAGAGGGGCCAGGTATCAGGGAGGAAGGAGGAGGCTGGGAACTCCAAGGAAAGGAAGCGATAGGAAGGAGTTGAGGTGCATGTACACCAATGCTAGGAGCATGGGTAATAAGCAGGAAGAGCTTGAAGCTGTCCTGGGAATAGGAGGGTATGATCTGGTGGGAATCACAGAAACTTGGTGGGATGAAAGGCAAGTCTGGAATGTGAACATAGAAGGGTATCACCTTTTTAGAAAGGACAGGAAGGGAAAGAGAGGTGGGGGCGTGGCTTTATATGTCAGGAAAGGGATAGGATACAGTGAGATAGAATGCAGCACAGATGGGGATTTGGCAGAGGCAGTCTGGGTGAAACTTAGGGGTTTTGACAGGGAAAGGGACCTGACAGTGGGGGTATGTTATCACCCTCCAGATCAACTTGAGACCCTGGATGATGTCCTGACAGGCTAGATTCTAAGGATATCTTGGGAGAGCGACACAGTAATTATGGGAAATTTCAGTCTCCCGGATATTAGTTGGGAGACTCACTCGGTGGTGACAGCCAGGTCACGTCGCTTCCTAGAAGCTATAGAGGGAGGGTTTTTCACACAGAGGGTCTGAGAGGCAACAAGAGGGGGAAACATCCTTGACTTGGTCTTGACCAATAGGGAGGAGCTGATAGATGAAGTACAGATTAGGGGAGCTCTGGATGCGAGTGATCACTCCATCCTTTGCTTTGAGATCAGGGGACTGGGAACGTGTAGCAGGTTGAGCACTAGAAGCTGGGACTTCAAGAGGGCCAACTTTGGCCAACTGAAGGCCAGACTGGGAAAAGTCTCCTGGGATAGGTTACTGGAAGGTAAGCGAGTTGAGGAGGGGTGGATGGCACTCAAAAAGGAGGTTTTGGAGGTGCAAGCCTTGACGATACCTCTAGTCAGTAAGGTGGGGAGGCGGAGGAGAGTGCCGCCATGGATGCGAAAGGAGGTGGTTAGAGGGATTAGACGAAAGAGGAACATCTGTAGGAAATGGGTACTGGGGCAAATAGACAAAAGGGTGTACTGGGAGGAGGAGGCCCGTTGCAGAAGGATTCTTCGCAAGGCTAAGGCTGATTATGAGCTGAGACTTGCCAAGAATATCAAGAGCAACAAAAAGGGTTTCTTTCAGCATGTAAATAGGAGGAGCAAGGGGAGACAAGTGGTGGGACCAGTAAATAAGGAGGAAGGAGATCCAGTGACTGATATGAGGGAACAGGCACAGATGCTAAATGACTATTTTGCCTCTGTGTTCTCCCCAAATCGGGATGGGGGATATCCGCATAGGAGATTAGATGAGGCTGGGGACTTAGGGGCACAGATTAGAGTCACCCCCCTTGAAGTCGAGGGGCTCCTCAGGGCATTGGACATTACAAAGGTGCCAGGCCCTGACAGGTTACACCCGAGAGTACTTAGAGAGTTGGCAGGGGTTCTCTCACACCCGCTGGCCTCCATTTTTGAGACTTTGTGAACGGGTGAATTTTCAGAGGACTGGAGGGTGGCATCAGTGGTCCCAATTTTCAGAAAGGGTAGTAGAAGGGACATGGGGAATTATAGACCTGTTAGCCTTTCCATTGTTTTTCCTACAATGGACATAAGGCTAACAGGT